AAATGAGGATTTTCTTATCTTCGTTCCTTCTTTCAGAATCGTGTCAACAAATTTTCTCTGTAATGCTAGATTATCTTTCCAATTCTCGCCGATAAATGTATCTAAGCGTAAGTGTCTTTTCCCTTTGAATGAACAATGTTTTTTAATTTTAAAAAAATCTTCGATTTCCCCGTTGGTTTGGTTGTCTGCTAAATAATTGCGAACGTCGACACTTTTCGTCAAATTGGCGGTGGAGGAATAGACAGCATTATGCCTAGTTAAGTCACCAATTAGTAAATTTGACCAAAGCATACAGGATGGAAGATAATTATTGACAACATATTCGAAAAAGCGTGGCATATAATACTTATTGATATCACTGTTGTCATCTTCCCTTATCGGGTTCGCCTTTTTAATGTTATCCAATTCCTCATTCCAAAATGTCTTTATAGAACATGGACCAATGACATCATTCTCAAGAAGATCAATGTCTTCCTCATGGCTTTCGGTATCAGATTCCACTTCATTTGCTTCATCAATAATATGTGTTTTAAATGTATTAAGAGTTTCAGAAAACTTATCAAGAGTTTCTTCCAGCATAGCAGATATATGCTTTGTTTTAAAAATAACGTACGCCAAATTTACGATGTTTTTCATTTCATTTAAAGAGGAAGCGGATATAAGAAGCCCAAAGAACCGCATTGCAATATGAATTTGACTATTGGCTGGATAATTAAATTCGCACAAGGTCTTGGCATGACGTTTTATTATTTGCATCATATGCGCTGAACATACATGATGTATGGTTTTCTGTGACTCTTCTAGCGTAGCTTTTCCTATCACAATTCGATACCCTCGTTCGAAATATTCATCCAATGACTCGTTATTAAATTCCTTCAAGCAGGCATTTATAATTGCCAAACTGAAATCACTCATCACAAGCACAGGATTTACTTCCTTGTTAAAGATCTCCTTTTCACGCTCTTTTAGCTTACGTATCATTATTCCAATGGAGTCAGCTGTATGACGGCTTGCTATATACTCAGCTATTGGAACAGGCGAGTTTTCAGGAAAAGGATTCCGTAACACCATAGCGTAATACAGAAGTCTTGAGTGCGTTTTTTCATTTGCAAACAAGTTTCCAGTTGCATCAATATAAATTATGTCGTGTCTTGATAGTTCGTGATAAAGCCGTACAGAAGCTTCATTGAATAATACGATGTTTATATCTGGATACATGCTGCACATTTGAATATATCCAAAAAATTTTCTCCATACATGTCCAAGATTGATGGCGGTCTTTTCGTCCTCTTCCGCAATGGAAACATGCAACTGTGATAAACTTGTGGCTAGGTGTTGGTCACTTTGGTGTCTGGCTTTCGCTTCGTGTTTAATTCCTTTCATTGTGCTGTTGGTAAGACCTGCTCCTGTTCGTACACCAGCAGCGAAACAATCTGCGTCTATTCCTAGAAGATTGTCTCGGTGCATCTTCGATGGTTCTTGGTTTGAGTTCCAGGCATGTTCAATCAATTTTGCTCTTTGATCACCAGTAATTTTCTTTGCCTTTGCTGATGTTATATCATGACAGACATCTCCAGAGAAGCGAATTTCTAATATACCTTCATCTCTGTTTTCAATCCTTAAGCGCACTGTAACATCTCCGAATTTGCATGTTGCCATACCGCACCAATACGGAGACGATTTTTTCCTGGAATCTTCCTTCTTTATATAGTTTCGTTTAAAAATCCAACAGCAGTATGGATTAAATTTTTTTAGAATATCTGAGAAAAATGAGGTGTAACCAGTATCAAACGCTCTGTGACTTCTTCTTTGATTATTATCTGAGATGTTCTTTACGGGTAAATCACGCCATGCCAAGGGAAGTGGAATAAGAGACACCTCTTTGTGGAGTTTTGCACAAAACGTACCAGAAGAAGGGACATTGCTGCCAGATAACGACATAGCTGTTGCGCCTGAAACGTTTGGGATGTTAAGAAACTCTAATCCGGTCGCAGATGGGTTAACTTGTTCGTAGCTGAGACATTCATCTGAAGTCAAGTTACTTACGAAATTAGTTTTCGAGTTACGCTTCGATAACCTTTGCGTCTTTTTAATACTAGATGTGAAATTACCTTGCTGTGGCGGTATAGTTTCAGTTTTTACGCGTTGATGCTCATTTTGGCCCATGAAATTTTTCCGATAAATTGAGCTTATAGCACTTCCTATAACATTGCCAAGGAATTCGGTCATTTCGTCACCGTTGTGACAGGGCTTATCCATTGCTATGCTTCTGGACGCTGTACTTTCCGAATGTGCCTCCATTAACTTAGTTTTTAAATCTGATATTTCGCTGCTTATACTTTCGGAACCGCTTTGAAATTCAAATTCACTTGTCGCAGACCCTGTTGAAGTGTGACCTACCACATTATCATCATCGTTGTTGTTCTCACACTTTTTCCGAATTCCACCTTCATCCCTTCGCCAGGCTAAACGTAACTTATCAACTTTCTTATTGCTTACCTTCATATCACCGAAGTATTGAGAAGCTACAGTTTTCCAAAACTGCTTCTTAGTAGACGAGAGAAGCGATTTGGCAAAGCGAATGGAATCAACAAACCGTGCTTGATCCAACACATTCTTGCAATTTTTTCTTTTACTTTTAGATCTACCACCGCCAAGTAAACCAGTACAAACCTCATTGCAATGAAACACACAATTTTTTTTGAATAACCTCTCTTTTTCGGCAATACCAACCAATCTTCTTGCGTGTAATCTCCTTTTCAAATTTTTGCAAGGTGACAAACTACGCGAACGCTGGAATCTGTAGCGTTTCTGTATTATTAAGCTTCTTGGTTTATGCGACACAAACATTTCCGACTTCATGACTATTTTCGGCTTACAATTGAGATTTAGCCCTTATGCAAGTACAATGAGGTATCCAATACAAAGTTGCTTACAAAGTTGCTTGCTCACAAGCGTCCACATTAACTGCCCTAAACTGAGATTTTGGCCAGTATTTATGCGCAACACCACCGGAATGAAATACCTAGAACTTGGCGCTTGCGCAACGGATACAGCTTGCTTACCGCAGTTTGCGCATTATTTGCTAAAACGCGCTGTTAACCCGGAAACAGTTAGCTAGCAGCGGAAAATAACAAACTTGTTTGTTTCGCATTTACAAAAATACAGAAAAACATCCTGTTACGTTTGGAAACCAACTAATGTAACTGTAATTTATAAGCAGGGTTTAGCTTATAGTTATAAGCAAGATAATAGCAACATCAAGTATGTAAAGAAGATCAATCACACCATGGCAGGCATTATAATACGCGTGTTTTTGACACACTTTGTGTCCTTGTAAAAGGCGAATGTGTCCTTGTAAATGGAAAAGAGTGTAGTTAAAAATCATGCCTCATGGACAAAAATGTCTAATATAATTTTAATCTGACTATTTAAAAATTATTGTTTCTATTATAAAATTGACATTATTGAATATATTATATATTAAAAAAGGCTAGAGACTGACGGACCGTGCTTTGCATGGCTATGCTCTTTTTTATATGCTTGCATTGTAATTTCACGTAGTAATTTCTAAGACTAAGTGATTATTGAACCTAAAGACAATGTGTGTCCTTGTAAAAATTCCGTATTATAATGCCTGCACCATGGTTAATAAACGGTTCTCATATTAACTATGATCAAATCAAACAAATCTTTCGTCCAAGCACACAGGGAAAACCCCCAGAAATGATAACGAATTAATGCTTTGTTTTGACCGGTGAATCAGGGGGTGCCTACTTCAATATCGTTTGCTTCTTCTCGCTCTACGTTTAAAACTAAACTACAGAAACAAATGAATTTTACTTAAATTTGTGCCTCTAATGCCAACGAAGAATGGCGTAAGAGATTTTAGCCAAACAACCTTGCATTGAGGAGATATTTTAATTTCGCCTCAAAAATGTGCCCACTCATTTGCGTTTCCGACAAGATTAGTGGTTTCAGCAAGACTTGTTATGCTCGCAATTCCTATCAGACGGAATGACCTCGAAGGCCAAAACTCATAGATATTGTGGCTTTTATATTTACGAAGAATGGCATCGAAGCGTTTTGTGCCACGCTTTTTCGTTTTGGAGAAATACGGCGATATGTTCGCGACATGTAGTTTGGTGTTTCAAATTAACATATGGCGGCGCATGATGGCACATACGTTTTGCTCGGTCTACAGACCATACGACACAAGTTAAAAGTTTCGGATTGATAAATTGGATTTTTCCAATGCTGACGCAGAATGGCATTTAAGCATATTTCGATATATGCGCGGGCTTCGAAAATATAACATTTTAATTTTCTATTTCAGCATCTGCGGCCGTCACACGGCATTTAGACGCCGCGTCAAAACAATCGTTTTGCTCGTTCTACGCAGAGAGGCTTACAAGCTACAAAGTCCTAGAAACTTTTAGTTTGAACATTTAAGGCTGATGCAGAATGGCATTGAATATTTTTGTTGTATACGAAATGGTTTTTGAGATATAATCATTTTCGTGCAGAGTTTTAAATCTGGCTCTGCATTCGATCGCGAGGCGAAGAAAAATTACCATATGTTTTGCTCGGCCTCCAGCATAAACGCGATAAGCTAAAAAGCTCTAAGTCGCTTTATTTCATTCATTAAATGTTTATAAAGAATGGCATTTAATTTTTTTTCGATAGCTCAAACCGCTCCGAAGTTATCGCGGTTTCATTGCAAAAATCCCCTGTCTGGCTCTACATTCGAATCTGAATGTGGAGCCAGGAATGTGAAAATAGAGCCAATTAGCTCATCGTAGTCAAACCTCTGTATGCTCTGTGGCCTGGTGGAGCAAAACAAGTTTGCACAATGGTTTGCACTCCCCCCTTTTTTCAAAATGCGTGGGAATTCTCACCCTCCTGACTACGTTGCTATGCAACTAATTAGTCTTCTAATAAATTAAAACCACATTAGACATTAGTGGCAACTCAAAGCCTCATGTTCTCAGTTCTTGCAGCAAAATACGCCGGAAAAAAAACTACAAGATAATCGCATTAACTGTGCAAAATTCCTTAATTCCGTGGCTTGCTTCAGTCAATCTTGAAGAGAGAAATCGCGATTCCTGCCCGCCGAATGTGAATATTTAATGCACATAGGAGCGATTCTAATTCAGGACAGTTGGGGAAGCTATACAACGCACTCTACCAAGCTGAAAGTTAAACCGCTTCGATCGAGGAGAAATTTCAGCTTCAATATGCTTTCTCTCAAAGGAAGTTGTATGTCTTTGTCTCCTAACAAGTTTCGTGTAAACTAAGGTAGGTTTTGTTGATTTTATAAGTGTTCAATTTTGCCATTTATATTTTGGAGACATGATTTACATCAACCGGTAAAACCGTAGCAGTATATAAATAAACAATTTTTTGTCAATAGATTTAAGAATATACAACGCTTAAAACTGTTAAATAAGTGTTAAAATTGTTGAAAGGTTTGCTTTGTATTTGCTGCGTATTTGCAATGTATCGTACTTCGTGCTAATTGAATTTTCGATTTTGTATCCCTGGTGAATTTTGTTTATATGTATTATGTTTGGAGACAGCTGGCCGTTATCTATAAAGACCTGTCAAAGAAACTATTCATATTTTAAATGTTGTTTTATATTGAGTCTACTGCAATAAATGAATGTTTTAGCATGTTGAAAAATGTAACATACACTATATAAAAATAATAAAATATATTATAGTTTTTATGGAAGTGGAGGTGATCATCAGGTTTTATATACATGTAAAATGAAATTTTAAATCCCAGCTATTTAGAATGCCTGCAGGCAACTGATGCTGAAATCCTGTCTGGGCAGCATTGAAACAGAATCATATATGAATTAATCATTTCATACAAGCAATTCTGTAAAGGCCAGTCAGCTATTTGAAATATAAAATGCCTGTACCTGTATGTCTGTGTATAGAATATCTGTATAGTAAGGACTGGTAAACCTCTGTAGGGTTAACTTCACTCCTAGCCTTCGGTTAAACCACAGTGATCGATACTACCGGTTCTCTCACACAATGTTAATTTCCCAGGTTCCAAGCACCAACCATAAAAGTATTTGTTTCTCCTCAGAGAATATATACATACCACTAAGTGGTCTGTTAAAATTAGTATACTTCTAAGTACATCTCCCCTAAGTAGTTAATATTATCATCCCCCTACAATAACACAAGTTTTGAACATGGTAAATGAAGGAACACATCCAATTGCTAGTTAATTTAAACAGCTAGATTTCAGAATCTTTGCAAAAACACTAACACTTATTTCTACTTTTTGCCTGAACAGGTAAAAACATCAGTTTTGGCTTGAATTCCAACCAGATAGCCTTGGAAAGCATGGCCGAAGCAGTAAAAGTTATTGTTCGATGTCGTCCCTTGAACAAACGGGAGACGGACATGAAATGTGATGTTATTGTCCAAATGGATTCCTCGATTGGACAATGCCAGTTATTCAAACCAGGTAAATGCAAGCTGTAACATAAGTGTAAAAATGAGATTTGTGATGCCTTTTACTGCACCAAGGAGAAAGTTGGTTGAGTTTAAGGTCTGTTCACACGATCTAATTTTGTTGGACCCAACTGATCCAATTTTGTTGGATCCAATTCACTTCTGACATATGGAATATAGTCGCTTATTGATGAAGCAGCAGCTGTAGTGCATTGGCTTCATTGGATTTGCTGCTCATGTACATTACAAGATAACAGACTATAAAACATCCATCAGAAGTGAATTGGATCCAACAAGTTGGATTGTGTGACGTTTAGATTTCTCCTGTAGTTAAACTATGCATTAGGAATGCAAATAGAACCTTTAATGGCAGTACTATTAATTGTTTATACTGTTTAATTAAAAATTCAAAGAGCTTTTGTACTTGTTTGTATTAGACTAAAAAAATTGTAATTGTTTTCATGTTACTCTGACAACAATTTGCTAATATGAATGTGGAGAATCCCTATTTGGTTAGACCTCTCGAAATCCAACAGCTGGCTGCATAGATGTGAAATTCCAGGAAAACGCAGTGTTTTGTGTTTATCTTTCAGGTGAAAAGGAACAGCCTCCGAAATCGTTCACTTTCGACGGTGCCTACTACACGGACTCCACAACCCAGACGATCTACAACGACATTTGCTTTCCTCTGGTCGAAGGGGTTTGCGAGGGATACAACGGGACGGTGTTCGCCTACGGTCAAACTGGGTGCGGCAAGAGTTTCTCCATGATGGGCATCACTGACCCGCCCACCCAGCGAGGAATTATCCCGAGAGCATTCGAGCATATCTTTGAAACCATCGACGTTTCCGAAAACACAAAGTTTTTGGTCCATGCTTCGTATCTCGAGATCTATAACGAAGATATAAGAGATTTGCTTGGCAAGAACCACAAGGTATATATTTTTGTTGATGCAGCGGTTGGATGGAGTGACCTTTTCTCGTTGTCAAAGTTGAGCGGGTTTTCGTAGAATCCTCTCTAAACCAGAGGTGCACTAATCCAATATTTTTTACCACTACAGTCCCGTCTGGAACTCAAAGAACATCCTGATATGGGAGTTTATGTCAAAGACCTCACAATGATCCCAGTTCACGATGTTAAAGATTGTGAAAAGGTCATGGCAATGGGGAACAAAAACCGCTCGGTATGTAGCTAGTCTTTGATTATAGCTATACCTCACAAACGTATAACTTTTGAAATACGCTCAGTATGTAAAAGATAAATGCTTCTCCCCCTATATATTCTTGAACTTTTTCAACATTTGAAAGCTAAACTTTGCCGCAGCTTCACTCATTCTAAATGTCTTGTTCTAGTTGTTTTGCTAAGACTGTGATCTTCTTGCCTTCAATGTAAAATTTAGTCAAGCTTATCTCATTCATTTCTACGAAAACGATAGGTTGGAGCGACGCTTATGAACGCAGACTCATCTCGCTCGCACTCCATATTCACCATCAAACTGGAGATGGAAGACACAAGCGCCGATGGCGAGGAACACATTCGAGCGGGAAAATTGAACCTCGTTGATTTGGCGGGAAGCGAGAGGCAGGCAAAGACCGGAGCTACGGGAGACAGATTGAAAGAAGCAACAAAGATTAATCTCTCCTTATCTGCTCTTGGAAATGTGATTTCGGCTCTTGTCGATGGGAAATCAAAACACATTCCCTATCGGGATTCTAAACTGACACGGCTGTTACAGGTTAGTTAAAGGGTTGCTGTCTTTTTTACGAAAGTTGGATAGCGCTATCGATGCGTATAGACATTATACTTTATTTAACTAAAGTTTCAAACTTATACAAAGCGAATGAAAAATGGAAATCTGTTTTGTCTCTAGGACTCGCTAGGCGGCAACACGAAGACCCTGATGGTAGCTTGTCTAAGTCCGGCCGACAACAATTACGACGAAACTCTGAGTACTCTGCGCTATGCAAACAGAGCCAAAAACATCAAGAATAAACCGAAGATCAACGAAGACCCGAAGGATGCATTGCTGCGCGAATACAAGGCTGAAATCGAGAAACTGAAGGAGTTGCTGATGGGACAAACACAAACGCCATTAATGGAGCTTCAAGGTGCTTCGTTCTCTCAATTCAATATTGCAAAACACACGCACTTAAACAAAAAACATCAGTAGAATCCTAAGAGATTTGATCTGACTTGTTTTGTGCACTATTTTATTCATGCAAATTATTTTGTATTTTCAACAAAGGTGCCAACACGGCACTCGCTCCAGTCCAACGCCAACCTGTCGTGGACATTCAGTCCCAGGAAAAACTGGCCGAGGAGTCTCTCCGTATTAAGGAGGAATATGAACGAAAGTTGGCCGAAATGAAAAGGATGGTGGAAGAAGAACAATCCAGCAAGGAACATTTGAAGGAGGAGATGAAGAGGTTGAAATCCGAATATGATCAGAAATTAACTTCCGTTGAGAGCCAATATCCTGCAGTCAATTTGGTAAGTGAGACCAGCGAAGAACTGTTGAAGCTACTCACTAAGGGGCTGTTTATATGAGCCCGGTTACCCGAGATTCAACGAACTGGGCTTATGTAAACAGCCCCTAAAAGAATTGTTCAAAAACAAAAATCTTAATTCGTATAAAAGATTGCAAACAAACTCCACCCTACAGTTAATTCGTGAATCAGGCCCATTGTACAGCAAGATATTGTAGCTCAGTGGCTAAGCCAGAAATAATATCAGTTAACTTTAAAAACTGGATAACCAAATTGATCTCGTTTCAACCGTTTTAATTTTAATTAACTTTACTTTGCTTTTAATTATACTAACCATTGTGGCGTGAGATAGATTTCTTGTTCACTTTATTTTAAATAACAGCAGGAAAACACGGCTCAAAATCAAAATATCCAAGTTCCTCCCCCCGAGAATAAACGTAAATCGAGCGATAATAACAATGACAATGTTAGCAATGAAGATGATAAATCTGAACCGGCGGTAAGATTAAATTATAATAAGTATAATATTTTTAAATAATATCTAACAAAGTTGAAACATTACCTAAACTCTAATACTATAGTAAAGTACTATAAAGCTGATGTAGTAAAAATCAAATGTAAACGCGTGTACTTCTGTCATTTGCTTAAATTTTGATTACTATACAGAAGCCAAATTAACAGCAAACAGTTTTTATAATAAATGTTAAATAAAAGATAAACGCTTTTCCTTTAAATCTGTGTACACGCGTCGTATTTGATAGCAAATTAGTACAATTAAAAAAATGGGTTTTATTAAGGTCTTGCTGCTTATAAATGAAGTCTGAATCTGCGTTTTACTTATTTATCATAAAATTATTTTTTGTAACTCAGATTTCGGGAATGCCGAGCGGAATATTGGAGGACGGAAACCTGGAAACGACCCGCGCTCCAACCTCGTCACCGGTACTAAACGGTTCCACGGCCAACCAAGCGCTGACCCCGGAACAGATGCAACAGGAGGCGCTGGTGCGGCTGCAGAACCTTCAGCAGCAGATTGTTGGAGGTGAACGAAAGGATGACAGCCAGCTGAAGGAGAAACACAAAAAACGCAAAGACCACGTGTTTTCGCGCAAAGAAAAACTCGTGAACGCTTTGAAAACACTCGACAATAGTGACCAGATGGTTATCAAGGTAGCTCGGAGTATTTCTATACTTACTGTAAATACAAACAATCTAACTTCCCCGAGATACGGAATGACTGGATATGGATAGATATCCGTAGTGAAGTATGTCCGTGCCATAGGAATGTGTCTTTATTAGAGAGAGAGAGGTGTCTTTATTAACGAGAGGTGTCTGTATTAGAGAGGTATTTGCGTTGGAGAAAGGTGAGGTGGCTGCATTGGAGTTGGTGCCCACGTTGGAGAGGGGTGTCTGTTTTAGAGAGATATTATCTGTATTAGAGAGAGGTGTCTGTATTAGAGAGATATTAACTCTTTAGAGAGAGGTCTCTGTATTAGAGAAAAATTGTCGATATTAGAGAGAGGTGTCTGTATTAGAGAGTTATTGTCTATATTAGAGATATTCAGTGGTGATGTCCGTATTAAAGATAACTGCTTGTAGTCGAGAGAGGATTAAAGGTGATCTCTAACTAGTTTCGCTTTTTTACCTGCGCAACATCCGATCAGCTCCAATTCCAATTAGGTATTCATTAGGCTTCTATCTCCCTCAAGGTCTACGACTCTTTACACGATGAAATCAAAGCGAAGAATAAAAAGATGAAGAACCTTCAGGACGAACTGACCCTCGCGAAAGGCGAAGTTGAAGACCTACAAATCGAATTTGAACGCGAACGAGAGGATTACTTAGAGACGATACGAAAACAAGAACGACAGTTGGCGTTGCAAAAACAGTTGTTGGAAAAGGTCCAGCCATTGTTACGAAGGGATTGCAACTATTCGAATCTTGACCGGATAATGTCTGAAGCCAAATGGGACGAGGATAGTAAACTTTGGGTGTTGCCCGACGTGGCGGTCGAACGTACTACTCTACCTATGCCTGGGGCAGGGGGGATCATCCCCTCCCCTCGGAAATCTAAAACCGGAGGCTCACCTCCGAATGGCTATTTCGAAAACGGCGGTGACGACAAGTTGTTGCAGCGTCTCAATCGTACGGAGAGCAGCGAAATCGCCAAAGATTATTTCGCTTCAAAACGTGCAAATCGTATTCTGGAGTCCCAACATCACTTACGACACGACAGCGACAATGCACCGAGGCGGAGGTCAAATAGCCCATTCCACGAAAGGATCAGCCCCACGGAGGCAGGTATGGGGCCCATGAGACCCATGAGGTTGGAGGCGTTGAACCCCACCAATGTTGGCGGAAAGAAAGGGAAAAAGAAGAAACAATTAGACAGTCTCTAAGATCAAATCTTCCACAAGTGTCGAATTAAATTATTAATATATATGCACACAAATGAGGTTTAGTCATGGGGGTAGAGGTCTTCCCTCTCTGAGGGTCAAATATATTCACTGCTTGGTTTAACCAGCAAGGCATTTGTGGTCCAACCAGCACTGGTCACTGGATCGATGATACAACATTTGATTCGACATTTGATTCATCTCATCTCTACTGCACACTGGATCATCTTGTTTTGCTAACCCAATGATCTCGAATAATTTTGGTAGTGCAGCAAGCTCTGTTGGCAGCACCTAGTTGTGACATATTTTACTACCAAGTGCCAAGAATTAGACTTAATGAATTTTAAATCGTTGCAAGGCAACAGCATTTGTAATTATGCATAGTAATATGTTCATAGCAGAAATGCACAAATTCAATAAATATATGTAAATATAGAATGCACTTAGAAGTATACCAATTTTAACATTCCGATTTTTAATATGATCGGTGACATCATTTTTTGTTCCTGCAAAAGCCTACAAAAGATTCTTTTTTAAGCCTTTCAGGGAGAATGAATACATGGAAACATTCCATACTACAGGATGCTTGGTTTCTGGTTATTTATTTGAGGTAACACCACATACATAAAGGCTCAAGTTAATGGCCAGAAGCTTTAATTATTTAAATACCCATGTGGTGTTCCCTTCAAACTAATTATTATATACATATTGTAGAATATGCAATAAAAGGTACAAGTGGTGGATAAAAATATCATTTACTCAAGCTAAAACTATAGTACATGTTAAGTGGTCTTAGAGGACTGAAATTAATTTGTGTTCTCTTCACATTCATCTTTTCCCTCTCCCATTTTCCTTTTCCTGAAATTCCTTCTTCCTTTTTGTTTTCCTGTTTTTTCTTCCTTAATTTCTGGTGTGACACCATCTTGATCTTCCAAATGTCCAAGATTCACCAAACGGTCACTTGCAACTTGCTTTAGGCCAGAACTTTTCCGTACCCTTGGGCTTTCCTTTGCTCTGGATGACCCTACAACATACTCAGGCATAACAAATGCCCCATTCCTCCAGGTGTGTGTCGATGATGGTGATGTCATGTCTATTTTAGGACTCGGTTTTCTAAATAGCAATTTGGAATCATCATCATCGTTCAAAATATCTACTTTTTCTAAGTTTTCTTTAACTAATGTTTGTTCATTTATGGCCACTTCATCCGACTTAACATTGTCTGTTTTCGACTCATTGACTTTACGTTTTGACTGTCTCTCGACTACCCCTTCAATATTTCCATATTCCGTATCAGCGCTATCACCAATAATTGTACTACGGCTTTTTCCAACTGATTTTCGCTTTTTTAAGTCGGCTAAAAAACTATGGGCGGCATGTTTATTTAAACTATGCTCATTCATGCCTCGAAAATTTTCCGATCCGTCATTTTCCAAACTATATTTGGTCCATTTCTCTGGCGACAAAACATGTTGTGGTACACCAGCTGGTAAACGTCTCGAACCGCTCCGCGGCGAGTTTCGACTTCTGGTCCCCGTCTGGTTTCTTTGTTGCTTTCCTGCTATTTCCAGCTCTGTTCTAACAGTGTAATTCTCATTCGACTGCTCAAGACTTCCGAGTCTCTCAAATATAGAGTTTGAACGGTTTTGAAACGAAGAATCAACATCTCGTAAACGAAGAAATTCACTCCTCGAGTCGGCCATCTTGAATTCTGAGACTTCTTTGCTTCCACCTTGGCTGACGAAAAATTTCTTTTATAGTTTAACAGTTAACAATGGTCAATAGATGTTTGTAATAGATTTTCGTTCTAAACTTTGTGTTTTGTGAAAGGTTTCTGAAACTAAGCAATAATTTGGTTAGACACAAATATAATATAATAACGATTGCTGTGTTTTTTTCGACGAAAACTCGTTTCAAACCACGGTCTGACTGTAATTTTCTTTCTCTTCAGTGGAAGCACCATCGAATAGACAAAGCGCGGGAAAATGTTTAGAATTAGATTGATAGATTCGTATTTTTTTAAAAAAATACGTGCTTCATTCAAAGCAGCGACGGAATTCCAGCGAATTGGTAGATGGGATGAAATTAAAAGGTATCTGTGTTAGGTAGGTTTTGTAGAACGAATATTTTTTTAATGTATGTTTGTTCGAATATTTGTGATGGTATTTAAATTTTGGAATGTTTATGTTGCTGGCATTTTAATTTTAGAATACTGATTTGCAACATTGCTTTGGTTCGATGACAAATTAGAACAGCGAATTGTGCTCTAGAACTCTTTGTTTCGGCTATATATAAAATAGGCCATAGAATCTCCTGCATTTTGTGAGAATAATGACATCATTTAACTCTACCCACACGAAAATGTTATTATATATACACACAGTTGTACAAACTCTATAATAGACTTTCTCAAACTTCTGGCTAACTTTTTCTTAAGCTAACTTTCTAATTATGTCCGATATATAAAATGTTTCTGTTATATAGTACATACTTTCACTCCCAAAACTTCTCACCAGTGACCATAAATATAATGTTCATGCATTAGTATTTTCCACAATGTTTCACAAATACCTAGCGCAGACCTAAGTACTCTAGATTTCGATTTCTAAAGTTCTCTGCCAGTTCCTTCAACTTTCCACCATCCACTTGATTTTCCCCATTTTCATTGCAGCTTTCTTTTTTGCACTCCTCGATGGTGGGGCTGCGTACCGGATCTCTTTCATTAGTAATCTCCTGTAAGCTTGGACGATTGGATGTTTTGACTGGCACCTTTCTTTCTGCCAACCTTCGCTGTCGATTCTCTTTGTAGGTGTTCAATTTCGTCTGCAGTTTCTCTTCGGCCACCTTCTCTTGCTGTCGGATTTGCTCCTCAACAATTTCTTTAGTCTGCTTGACTTTACTACTCTCTCGTTGGCATTGCTCCACTTTTGCATTCAGGATTGCATTGCGATTCTCCTCTGTTCTCTGCTGCTTCTCGTCAATCTTTTCTCGTAGCTTCTGGCTGTCTTCGTGATCAACAGAATTCTTTACCTTTGCCTTCTGCTCAGCCTGCTTTTCCCACACTTGTTGTCTGACAACCATATTCTGCTCACGTACCTTCTTGGCATTCTCAAACTTCTGTGCTAAATTTTCCTTGGTACACATTGAGAATTGCTGATCATGCTGCTCACGAAGCTTCTTTGCTTGCTCAACTTTATCCAAGTCTGCTTGGGCTTTCTTTCGAATTTCAGCCTCAAACAGCTGTCTCTTGACTGCAGACCTATCCAGGCGAACTTCTAGTTGCATTAACTTTTTGGCACTCGAAACTTCCAAGTTATGATTTCGGTACTCTTTTGCCTCCTCTATCTTGGCTTGTTGCTTTTGGACTTTCGAGATCCTCTCATTTATAGTTGCCTCACGATTCTCTTGACTTGCTTCAAACTTTTGCCCTATCTTCTCAGCTGTAGCTGTAGCCTTCTCTTCTATCTGTCGTTCTTTTGATTCCTTGACAACATCAATCTTCTCTGCTTGCATCTGAGCTGCCACTTGACGGTTTTTCTGATACTTGGCGTAATTCTCCTTGAACCTGTCAAACTTTTGGGAGAGCTTTTCTTTTACTGATTCTCTAAATGACTTCTCACGTTTTTGGACTATTTCCTTGGCTGCTTCAATTCTCTTTGCCTTCTCTTCCCACTGCTCTGCTCGCTCTGCTGCAATGGTACCCTGGTTTTCAGCAAATATGAAGAGCCGTCTTTGGTATCTAGCTTCCGTCTCTCTTCTCTTTCTCTCTTCGTAGTCTGTCATGGCTTGGCGGACCACCTCTGCATGCCCATCGTTGTGGGCAAGTTTAAGACGCATGTCTAGCTGTCTCATCTAAAAAATGTAACATACAGTTGTCAGTAACATGGCTAAACTGTAACATGAATATCTGACAGCATTTATTTCAGAGAAAAGCTTTCTGGTTCCTGCTGTAGTTACCTTGCGTCTTCTCTCTGCGGCAACCAGCTTTTCATCTATGTCCTGACGTGTCAACATCCCTTCTCTTTTAGGTGTTAACTGAGGCTGTCTGGCATTCTGCACTCTTGGACTAAGGATAACCTCATAGCTTATTGCCTTGGCAGTCCCAGGAGTGGAGGTGACAGATTCACCAACATCAAATACTGCAACAAATGCAAGGTATGGTTAGGTACTGTTTCATAATTCCAGACAGGCTGACTCTTAAATATATCTTCAGGAGGGGCAATTTAAATGCAACTCTCTTCTACCATTGTACATGTATTAAAAGTCTATATGCATCAGGATTACTAACCGATCATATTTGAATAATTATAATAACTTGTAGGTACACCACGTAAGTATTAAATACTGCAAAGCTTTCGGTCCGTTAACCCGGACCTTCATCAGTGCAATTACTTGAATACACGTTTGCGCGTCACTTAAATATCATGTTAGTCGTGATTAGTTTGCTCGCGCTATTAATTAAACGGTTTCATTTAATTAAGTTCTAACTAACGCAAACAAACGTGAAAACGCGCAAACGCGAAACATACGCGCAAACGTGTATTCAAGTAATTGCACTGATGAAGGTCCGGGTTAACGGACCGAAAGCTTTGCAGTATTTAATACTTACGTGGTGTACCTACAAGTTATTATAATTACTAAAGTCGCCATGCAATCATACAAGAAAATTATTACATATTTGAATAGTTTATGACTTTTGTGTATTATTGCGTGTGATTGCGTGTTCTTAAGAGACACTTGAATTAACATATTAACGTTAAAAGACAAACTAACATTATTCCTATAAATTTGTCTATAAGTCGTACAGTTGTTTTTCCTATGTTTGTTGTTTAACGACGAGTTGAAAAACATCCACGATTTAATGACAAAGTTGGCTGTTTTAAAATTACCATTTTAAAAAGCAGTGTCATGTTTAGAATTATATGACCCATGTTTCTTTCACGATTTTTACGACGCTATATTTTGTTTAACTTATATAATAAAACCGCGCTGAATTTGCCCATATATATTACGATATACCCGCAGAGATGTTAGGATTTCGTGGTGTAATTTAACCACAAGATAATATAAATCGGTTGAATGCTTTCGCACATGTTTCTTTTGAAATATCCTAGAATAATTTTATGCTCGTGTGGTTTTATAATTACCACTCGTGCACGTATCCGCATTTGACAAAAGCATAAAATCGCTACAGTATTTGCAAGCTTTGAACACCTTCAATACGTTTTATGAGCAGAAAACGATTACTGTGCAGATGCCTGATGACCGCTTTATTCGCATTTCAGTGATATTTCATCAAACCTATAGTATGTCCCAGATTATAGGCAGCTACGGTGATACCTCTACTTTTTCTTGCAAATCGCATCTTCATTAGCTTTGCGTGGTTTTTGGCTTAACAGACTGAGTCATGCAGTTATAACTAAAGTTATTTATTTAGTTTACATCTAGAATCAGGAAATCATCTATATATCTGCTATACCTTCTTTGCTGTTTGTTGAACCCATATCAATTTGTCACCATCAAATCGTAGCAAAATGTAACACAAAATTCCAACGTTTGCAACTAAAATAACGTCATAAAAAGAAACAATTATACTCGGGAAGACAAATACAACTTATATTTTCAACTTCAAGGCAAACCATTACACATCTTACCTTTTTTAAGCGCGATTTTTCGAGATATCAACAAGCAAGTGCTTATGGCATTTACTTGTGAAAACAAATCAATCTCACATTTCAAATTTCAAATTCCCACCGTTTGTACACGTGACACGTATAGGCGTTTTCTCATTGGCCAGTCATCGCCTCGCCAACGTCATCGCGTGATTGCGTGACATCCACCGATGACATCTGGCCACTGGCACAGCCATTGGGCACAGCGTACCCATTGCGGTTTTTGTTCAAACATGGTTCAGTTGTTCAGTGGTTTTACTGTACCAAAGGAGTACCCCAAGGCATTACTAGGTGCACATTTATGACGGCATGTTACAAGACATACGGCATGTTACAAGACATACGGCGAAAGATTTTCTTGGTCTCCTGATGATCGGTATCGTGGTCGTTATTATCATCCAGTTTTCTCGTGTAGAACCGTTCCGACTTTTATCCTTTCTACGGCGTAAACGCGTAGGACCGTGTGAATTTTAGCACGGTCCTAAATTCACGTAGTTCCGTGTGAACGTAGCCGAAATTTTGAAATTATCCCTGGATGACATAGCCGAAATCCTACAACTCCCCTCTATCCCTCAGTCTCTTAGTTGGTAAAAAATTAAGTACTGGTTAATCTGCCTGTATGCATGGCTCGTGTTCTTCAGTTACTGATACACGTCTATCCAATTGTATCCAGTAGAGTTAACTCCAAAATGACGCTGAGCAGGTCAATATTGTCCCACGAGACATCTATACGATGTTGACGATGTCAAGATCTGATTATAAATATAAAAAAAGCATCTGATTTTGTATTCAGTAAATTCCAAAATACCAAACCGGCGTTTTGCCGGCGTATCGAGGAAAAACTGACGAGTCAATGCAGGGTAGCCAAATTTGTTCGTTTTTTTTAAACTGCCTTTTTATGGAAAACGCTGTGTAATAAAAGAATTAAAGAAGTTGCATTATTATTTAGATTTAAACGCTGCTAAAAATTATAAATTATTCACTTGAATTGCATTTAACCTGTCAGTGTTATTGACCCGCAATTTAAATATATCTCCATGACACCGACACGTTTGCGGAATACTGCTTGTGAAATGCATTAATCGTCGTATGCGACATTAAGTACAAGGAACAAAATGTACTTTCTAAAGGTAATTCTTGCTCTAATTTGCTAGTGATTGCGACATTTTAGTGAATTTTCTTGCTGTTAATACAGAAATTTTTCCGAAATTTAAACAGCTAACTGAGTACGTGTTTATATTTTCTTCTGTTCGCAGGTGTTTTTTCTTCTTGCCATATTACGACTTTCAGGTACGTTTTTCTCAATTTTTCTTCATCCTCGTAATCTCCATCAATTTTCTTTAGTATCAATAGTTTTCACCCTTCTATAAAAGCAAGCGCTTTGTTATTTTAACCCGTTCAAACACAAGCCTATAATACAAAATTATTTATTGATATTCACATATAGTCGTTGGGAAAGACAGGTTGACGTATGTGTTTGAAAATGTGTATATGCGCAGATATAAACAGCTTTATTGGTATAATAGGTATATATTTAAGCCGTTGTTATAAGGTCTAACTACTGTCCCCTTTTGGAGATAGTATCTCAATCGTCTGACTAGTTAACTAAAGTGGTATATCGATAGCTTCAACGCACTTCAAGACTTTTATGTCCGCTCTTGTCCTGAAGATACTTTTCCTATATGAAAACTACCCCTATAACTGCATGTCACTTATTGATTCATTAGTTACTGGTGAAGACATATTATAGAACCACTGGCGTAGCCAGCATCGATAATTGGGGGGGGTCCATATTCATATATTCATGTAAACAGACTGTAAAGACAATTGATTTGAAAAGAAATTAATCCTGCGTATCACGAATATATGAATATGGACCCCCCCAATTATCGTTCTGGCTACGCCGCTGTATAGAACCCAAATAAATCCAATCTGATGATAAATCCAAGAGATCTGCTTCCATTGTTTTTTCCCAATAGAGTTATCAGTATAGTGATGCATTCGTTAATCTTAGTATTCTGTGTAGGGCCCCAACTTTCTGGGCCGTAACATTATAGCTATTAGGACATATGAACGTTTAAAAATTTCATGGACACCGTTCGGAATCGGCAGGAATCCCTTTCACATGGGAAGCAATGTGTTCAGGGGCGAATTCCAGACCAAAATATAATCGATTTAATGTTTCTCCAATCGACGTAGGTGCTCGATTCGGTTCATCTGCCAACGGAGATAGACAATTATAAACTGTTTTTTTTTCTTGGCGAAAAGCATATTCCTATATAGAAAGAGTGTACTAAAGTTTGTGAAGTCGCAAAGTTTAGTCGTGCATGCATGAAATGTTTTAAAACGTTTTAAAACAAATGTCATGCGTGCAAATATTTTCAGTTAGAAGCCAACTTTGCCATTATACCGAAAACCTCTTCCTTAGATAAAACGTTTAGCTATAATGGGTATAGTCCACACTAAAGAATTTTGCGGGGTGAATTGGCGGGTCGATCTATCCCCACAGCAAACCCCATACCATAAGTACAATCTTGAACATAAGACTTACTTTATCTGTTGAAGAAATCATGTACTTCTCATGATTAACTCCCTGCACTCCTCAAACCTCCCTGTTCCTCATCTGACACCCCTGTTTCCCTTCTGAAACCCCTGCTCCCCAAAGTTTATATCGTTATGTTCCGGATTTCGTGATTTGCGGTTAGAAAGGTTCGAAGGGAAAATATTACCTCCCCAAGAAGTACCTCCCCATGATGACTCATGGGCTAGACCCATGAGTCTTGTCAATTTCACACCTTTCGATTTAGTGAAAATCAAGACCACTGTGTTAAAAAAATTGCTTTAGAAGAGCTCATCCAAATATCATATATTAACTATCTCATCTTGTAATATTGACAAGGCTTTGCAAACAGGGAAAAACTGTATGAAAGCTGAATAGCGCTATTCAGCTTTCGTATACTGCCGGCTCTAGGAAGGGAAATTAAATCAGTTTGTAATTCGCTGTTGTAACCAGGCTATATATAAGACGTCTTAAACACTTGTGGAATTTTTTACTTTGAAAAACTTACGGTTTCCCTCATTCTGCTCTAGTGACGAGTGCAACAAACAGTACCGTCGTCAATCCCACAACCACCAAATTGGCCCCTGATACAACAACCACCCAATTGACCCCTGATGCCACAACCACCAAATTGGCCCCGGATGCCACAACCACCCAATTGACCCCTGATGCCACATTCTCCCAATTGACCCCGGAATATTCGTCTCAGATCCCCCAGGCAAATCCCTCCATATCTCCAAATGCTGCCAGTACCGCGTCGGTTCCAAGTTCCACCCCAGACGCGGGCGGATCTTCGGTCAACACAACTAACGCACCGGGTGGTGGTGGTGGTCCCACGACTGGAAGCAATAACCCGTTCGGGACCATGTTCAATAAGTTCACTTTTCCCCCAACTACGAAAACTCCCCCACCCACCACAGGTATGTCTCGTGTAGTTGGGCAGCTAGGGGAGTCAGTTCCGGCCCCTGGACTGTATTACCCCTCACTATATTTCCCGAGTCAATTTTTTTTATTTACACAGTTCCAACAACTCCACATCCTTGCACGATGGTCCATCGACCCACCGATATGGATACATGTAGCAATGAATCTTGCGCACTGGTATGTATATGGACGGAGGTTCAAATATTTTCTCACGGTCTCGAAGTTTCCTCGATCGAAAACGTAGGCTTGTCCTGATCCTGATCGTAGCTTCTTTCCAATACCTCTAAATAACATGAAAAATTCCGCTTCGCACCGTTAAAAATATACGAAAACTTGCCTTAAACTATCTTTTTTCATTCGTGCAGAAAAAGCTGACTCAAATGGAGTCGTACATAAAATGCGGTAAAACAGGAAGCGAAGTAAGTACAAAACTGTGCAATTCTAGAGTTTAATAGTTCCTTTTCGATTGTAATGATTGAATACACTGCCGGTGTTACCAAGGTTTAATATACCATATTCCGGTGCAAAAAATAGAAATATTCTTTTTACCGTCTATTTTAGGACTATTCCAAACATCCCACAACATTGCCAGACATGGGCGAAATGTTGGCGCTGAAAATTTCCGAGGACATTAAAAATAAACTGAAAACAAACACACCTGTTAACGACAGTGTTGTCATAGTGACTGATCAACTTGGTGAGTGACTTTTATTTGATAAATAGAATTATCATGGTCACTTTAGTCGTGCCTAAAAGTATACAGCATGATAGAGCTATCCAGTTTGAAGAAGGGCGAGTTTTTAAGGAGAAGGGCTTCTTCTTTTGAAGGAGATTTGTTTCAATGGGTTGTGCTTCAGTTTTTAAGGAGAAGGGCTTCTTCTTTTGAAGGAGATTTGTTTCAATGGGTTGTGCTTCAATTTGCATTATGTCCAAAGTCATTCTTAGTGTCTATTTCTCATCTTGTTCACAGCGCTTGGTGCTTCTACAATCGATGCTTCCATGTACACAAATATCTCCCGGGGAGTGTTTTCTTTTCCCAACATGTCGCAGGAGGGGGTGAGAGGGAAGGTTGGGGCGAGGGCATTGAACAGTATTATGTATCCCAAGAAAGATCTACCGTTACGATCTGACCTTATTCAAGTGGCGTGGAGCATCTCCGAAACGTCTTTGACAAAAGTTCCCGAAGAAGAAATTGAACCTTTCAGAGAGTAAGTGGAGTCCCATTTCAAAGGAAATAAATTGAACCTTTAATATCCTCCCCCGGTATAGGATTCCTGGCTTACAATACTGCATCTTGAAATTACAACCTTTTTATTGCTTCTTTTGTATAGCATTGTATGGCGTTTGCCAGTCGCTGACATGAAGATACAGAAGAACAAAATCTTTGTGGGCAAGGAAAAACCTCACCTCACAATTAACAGTCCAGTTATCACCTTTAGCATGGTGCCAAAGCCTTCAATGTCCCTTGAAAATCCCCTGAAAATCGCTTTCAGACTGTTGAAGGTGCGACATAATTAGAAAACTCGAATAATCCAATTATTAATAATCCAATTATTACAATGCAGAGAGGAGCATGACTCTCAAACAGAAGTCCCTAGGTTGCAATTTCCTGCGTCGACAAAAGGGGGGGAGGTCGCAAGCTGCAGATTTTCTCAAAACATTTCAAATATATTGTGTTAGCCGTTTGAATTAATATTACATAGAGTGAACGACAATGCTTTTTTCTTAGAATAAAGATGTTAGGGACCACAGATGCTACTTCTGGTCAGCAAAGTACGTATTAATAACACTTATCTCTACTTTCTCGAAGATTCCTTTACGGGATCATAATTGAAAACTTTAGGATAGTAGGTCAAATACGAAAGAAAAATATATAGTATAGGAAGGAAAAATGTAAGTATTAGAGGTTCAACGGTGAACGATCATGCAGAAATCCATAAAGGCAATGGGTTTAAACTTAATCCAGGATTAAGGCTAATCCGAGTTTAGGCAACCAGTCCGTTCCAATTGCTTAAGTTGGCAACTATCACATTAGTTTCTTCGATCATGTCAATCTTTAAACGAAAAATTTTATTTCTTTCAGTTCACCTCCATCCAGTGGAGGATTTTGGTCCAGTATTGGCAGCAGTGTCGTCCTTGTCAATGAGACTCACATTGTCTGTTCGTACACACACATGTCGACCTACGTTGTGCTTTCAGAAATACACCCTGAGGTAAGAAATTGCTTCCTTTCGGCCATTGTAAAGCATGCTTTAAAATAATGACCCAGATACCGTCGAGTCCCATGCAATTTAGCGCTCCCGGTTTTCGGAAAAGACCTAGGTTACAAATACATATGAAAGTTTTTCTTCAAGTCTTTGTTTTTGACAGGCGATTTCACAGCATTTATTATTGTCATTCTTCGCTTCTAGGCTGACGATACCGCAAGAAAGATTGTTCGTATTGTAGCGATTGTGTTTTGCATTCTTGCAATGGCTGCTCTAATTGCCACAATTCGTCTGACAAGGAAACTCAAGTATGTCTCCTGCTTGTCAAAGTGCACCTGTAATGTTTTAAGGATTCCAAATACCTGTCATATTAGGATGAAATGATGATTACATGTCAAGATACCGGCATGCATAAGCACGCCATAGCTCGTTTTGAAAAATGACTGTTAGGATAGCTCAATGCAGTGTACTGATGGTTGTTTCTGGTGTGGATATATCATTTTTTTCTAATATATTCCATGAATATTTTGCAGTTGTTTCGACAATGATCGAGTGAATATCCACGTCCATCTTTGCGTTGTCTTATTCATTGGCTATTTACTCTTTATCATTGGGGCCATCAAGAGTGACATTGCAGTTAGTATATTATATGTTGTATTATACTGCTCCTATACATCATTCACGTTACCTGAAATATGTTCCTTGCTAAACAATGAATGGTTTAAATCTCACTGTTTAAAACTCAAGAATAGGATAGAACCGCCCAAAAACCCTGGGCTGAGCACTGCCCTGATCAAATCGATGTATATATGCGAGACTTTCCGTGGACTATAAAACAGTTCTCATTTCTTCCGATAAAGATATATTGATGTATCATTTTAGGTATTGAATGATATCCTGGCGATAGCTCTTCACTTCTGTCAGTTTTCGCCGTTTGTCTGGCTGTTCCTTGAGGCTGTTTATTTCCTCAATGTCGTATTCCCGCTCTTCAACTACGAGAACACCAACACACAGAAATTCTACGTATCTCTCGGCTGGGGTAAACATAGAAACCAAACTTTCCAGTTGTGCTGGTTTTGGGATGCTCTTCCCAGCCTCACAACTCAGTAGCGTTGATCAGTTTTTTTAGTTCAAGATTTAGTCTAGTCGGTCAATGGTCTGTTGCATCTGCTTTGAATTTAATTGGCGTCTCGTCTCTGATCTGTTTGTCCGTTTTATTGTAGCTCTAACGGCAGCATTTGCGGGTGCAACCGCTGGATTTGACATGCCACACCACGGGAAACCACATGCGAGCGAGATGTAAGTTGCTAGACTACTGCACTATATGGCTTGAATCATCCTGGGTATGAGTGCAGGGCATCAACCATCCAACTGAATTCTAAAATGGTATTTGAAAATGAAAACGTTCTGAGAAGACTTAGATTCCTAGAACTACTCATTTTCCATTTTGAAACTTAGTATGATCCCTAGTACATCTAAAGCCTCTCTATCGGGCGAATTATACCCGCATGGACACGGACACTGTATACTATATGCCGGCAGAGAGAAACGAGTTAAACTTATCAGAAATTCGTAACCGGTTTTATTTCTTTTCCCACTAGTATTTGGGTTTTCATCAGCAAATCGACATTGGGATATTTCTTTGGACCGCTGCTTGCGCTATTTTTGGTGAGTAAATGCATTGTTATGATCTTCTCTCCACTTCAGTTATGGGTTGGTATTTGAATGATTCATCGTTCAGGTTGCTTTCATGTTCGCCTTTCTCGTTCCAGATCAACCTTCTCATACGTGTTGGTCTGGTCATTCACGTCACCTTCCGTGCCCCAAATTATGACGGTGATAAAGTTCCACTAAGAATCAAGTACGTCTCAAGTTTAAACTTTCTCTTAAGCTAATAGCCTAATATATCTCTCAAGTCCTGCAAAACTATGTTCTATTGACATAAAGTCCTACAGCGAATCCTTTTTTGTCCGCGTTTTGCCGGCCTGAGCGTGTTTTGACACAACATATTTTTCAAATCGATCTTTCCTCAACTAAATGAAATTTTATGCAAGAAAAGAGTTTTATTGCCACGTCTATTTTAGGGTGAATCTTTTGACAACTTTCGTGCTGTCTACTGTGGTATTGCTTGCTTGGTGTATGGGGATCAGAGCCGTCAACAACACAGAAACCAAAGGATATCATTACGGCTTTCTCCTGCTGTACTGTTTTCAGGTTTGTTTATTTAAATGCACGAAAGCATTAAAACTACACCAATTGCCTGAAATCAATGAAGAAAACCCTACCTCAAGAATACCAAGGTCTAGATATACAAATGAACAAATATGAATAGACTTGATCGCCATATTGCATAAAAGGGTACTTTATTATAGTTTATTTTCTTTTCTTAGGCATTTTTGGTTTTCGTTATTTATGGATGGCAAAATGAGGAGGTAATACGTTATAAGCGTTAGCTGATGTTTAACTTGGGTACACAAGAGATGAATTTACTGCATGGCAGCATGGGTGTGCGTGTGGGGAGGGGAAGGGAGGGGAAGAGAGGGGAAGGGAGGGTAGGGTAGAGGGTGTACCCCTATGCAGTACTGGACCAAGTGAAAGGGAGAGTTCCAAGTTCTTTAGTTCAATTCCTTACTGTGCACTAAACAGTATTTTTTCTCTTTAGATGTGGTCGTTGCATAACAAGAGAAAAGAAGAAGAGAGATTGGTTGAGGTAAACTTAAAACTTTCAGCAGTAATACTTTTGAGGAGATAATAAGTATCGTTAACCTTTATCGCCTTATTATTTTGTATATGATGGGTTCACTACTTACTTTTGATAAGATCCCTCAGAAAAGCATGCATGCACTGCCTCAATAGTCTCCAGGTCCCTTCAGTACACACTTCGACACAATGTGTGTGTTTCTTTCAGTGGTTTCTTCTCAGTCCCTCCATCTTGAAAAATTTCAATTTCATTTCTTTCTCTTATTTGAAATTGTTCTTCATCTAATTTTCAGGAAAGAAAAATCACCTTCACATACGTTCCATGAACACCTATCATCCTATGTCTTCGTAAATTGTTTTATTGTATAGTATAATTATCTATTTAATTAATTTTAAGCTGGAACCCAGGTAGTCTGCACACCCCCTGACTCCGTTCAGGGAGATTCGAACTTATTCTCACACAACTTTTCCGAGCACACTACATCTTGTCACTGATCTCAAAGAAAAGATGGAGCGTGCTAATGAATTAAGTCATCCGATTTGTAATTTTAAATTGTCTACACAGATCTTGACTATCTGTGGCAGCACTAGTCCTTAGCATTTATTTTTTCCAATGTTTTGGATCCGACTTGGTCATATTAATCAGATCTGTGTTACGTTTCAAATTAGTCCTGTGTTTCAACGTCTTTAGTCGATCAACAGAAATCTTAAACATAGAATTGATTGTAAGTTACGATATTGAGGTATTGTTGAACCTGTCAACTGCCAATGCAAGTTTTCAAACCTATTGACCAAAAGTTAAAAAAGCACTTGCCAAGCTAGTTGCACTCCTCGCTACAACGCAATCTTTAGGGCAATGAAAAAAATAAAAACCACAAATCAGTTTGACACTGCCCTTTTGGGCAATATAATCTTTTATTATCAATATTTATAAATAAATTTTGTTGCATTTCATCTGCTATATAATGTTGTGTGATGTATCATTATGGATATGGTTTTTAAATGTATGGAAAATGCGACGCGATTAAGTCAACTCAATGGTTTTTGTATGAATACGCAGAACAAAAGTTGAAACTTGGTTTTCATACATAGAGCGAGCTATCCCAGTTAGGGGAGGTAAAAAGCGCATCACATCAAAGGCTTAACCTTATTATTAATTTGAAGTTTTCACCTCGTCCAGCCGGGATAACTCGCTCCATGTAAACAGGCCCTAAGTTGCCATGATCCTAGCCCGTCCTCTGGTAGACATTTTGTAAAGAGAGTGAATGCCATTCTTTTTCAAGAAGGACAAAAAGGCTCATGGCTAAGTGACCAGTTAACATTGTTTTATCGTTAATCAACAAATTAGCCTTGTGGAAACCAGGCTTGAATGTTATCCGAAGAATAATTGCTAGCTACACTGTATAACCGCGTTTGAGGCATCTTTCAAAGGTAGTCCTTACTGTTTCTTACTGCATGTACACAAAGTGTCATCTTGCGAAGCGCCCAGTCCTTGTCTCACGATGACATTCTGTGTAGATCAGTTTAACAAGATAAAGATGAAATCCAATGATCAAGAAGGCGACGATCACCCAGAATGTCGCTGGCAAGAAACGATGAGATTCCCTGCTCTGGAAACGAGTGTCTAAGAAAGTACAACAGCATAATGGAGTGAGCTATGGTGAATTGTTGGAGATGCTATGTGGCGTATCAGTGGTGTTCATCACAGATTGATAAACGGTATGTTCACCACAGCAGATTTAGCAATATGCAGTGTCCTGGGCCTGGATGATTTTCTCAAACTATAATGCATTAGAAGTCTTGCAAGTAGTTTCTGTTTACCTTTCAAAGCCTTTTGTATAAAATCCATGTTCTTGAGACTTATCAAATGACTTTCGTTACTCGATATATACAGCAGGGGGGTGACGGGCGAGGTGATCTTTACAGGAAAGGTACTGACTTTTGTACTGAAAGGAATTTCACGTTAAGCATTAGCTCATATCTTGAGTCTACAATGTGTTTTTTGAAGTTTGTTTTTAGCTATTTTTAGGTTTTATCTGCTTGGAAAAGGTAATGAAGTTCCCACACTGCTAATACAAGGTATGAGGCAACACCAAAAACTTGAGAAAAATCATCAGAACCAACTAAAAAATGCAATTCAAGGCATTTGGTCAAATCTAACATGCTTACTTTAATATCACTGGATGGAATTGGCAGCCCGCTTCGCAGGCAAACAGCTTGACCTGATTTTCGGCCCAGACTTTGATCTCCGCTGCCTGCGACCACTGACGGCTGACCACGATTTTGACACTAACAAAACTACCGTAGTATTCGATATGGTGAAATAATATATCCGTCTGTAGGGTGGCGGGGTTAGCCGCGAACTCCAGGTGGCCTTGGGCGAACGTGAAACCGCCAAAACTCAGAACCATTGCCTGATGCAAGGAAGTAGTGCCTAGGAAAGAGGATGAATTTAGTGCCGGAGTTAGGCAAGTGTAATGGCGCGGAGACCAGGCAAGGAGACCTAATTGTATATAACTAGGTAGCTTTGAAGATCCACAAAGAAATATCCTCGACTATTTTGTCCATGCAGAGTTGCAAGAGGAAATCTAAAATAAAGCTAAATAGATCTTCTGGATAGCTCCATTGACCATTCCAAAGTTTCGTTAGTGGACTGGTGCTAGTGAGGCCGACATAGCATTAAGGAACAGTTTTTGGGACGTAAACAAAAGGTTCGTCCCAAAAACGGCCCCATGATGCATTGTGAATATCACTATTACCAGTCCTTTACTGCAACTTCGAAATCGCTAATTATCGTTCTAAACTGTTCTCCCTAGCTTTTTTCGCAAACTGGATAGCTCACGAGATGCAGTGAGTGACATCCCTTAAATATGGATCCGGTCTTACTACAGGGGAGATTACAAGGAGACTACAAGTCTATTTCAAAACAACTGGATGGTGTTGGCAAATCAAAACAACCTCGATCGAAGAAAGTCTCGCATCCGTGTGAGATTAAAGCCTTTCTCCATTTCATAGCAAGATTGACGACATCCAACTCGTTCTTCGGGGCAGTCCACAGTAAGGCTGTATGCCTACAATGAAACAAAATTTGATGAAAAACACGATTTTCATAGTTTGCTCGGGTTGTAGATTTCCAGCTTTAATCATTCGCAACTTACATGGTGGGAACGCCTTGATAACATCGTCCTGGGTAAGATTTCGACGGCTGCTTTGCAACGGTTGTGGTCAAAGCGGACAGGACATAATACATGGTGATGTTGACTTTCTTTCCAGCAGGAGTATCAGGGTGATGATTCATTGGAACGGAAACACCACTCTTCCAAATCTAACGATTTGAAAAAGAAAATGATGAAATGTGATCTTGTATGCAAGAAACAATTGGTCACACTGGTTCAGAAAACAAAATGTTTTTTAATTGGCCACCCTTCGACAGAAAGGATGCACAAACCAAGAGTGACTGCACTATTTGGGCGATAGCATATGATGATATTAACACGAAAACATAAAGCACCTTTCTCCATGCGGACGACTGTTCCTCACGTAAAGATTCCTCCTGTTGTATCCCGGTCTTTAGTTCCTGAAAACGAATTGAATTTCATGTTTATCCTTTTTCATAGCTAGCCTGAAACATCCAGTTGTAAAATCCGCCGCCATTTTTCTCACAAGAACATCGAAATGATTTTGAAAATACCTGAACGACCATCTTTCGAAGGCTCTTCTCGACGACTAGCGGAGCGCATGTTGCAGGCTTGGCACAAGAAAGTACTTTAGAGTGGACTGCCGTTAGGAAATGAAGCGTTTTGACACTTGAAGTAGAAAAACAAAGACTGTAAATACGTTCAATGACTGGTGAATTTTTGCCGTCTCATCTAAAATCATACTTTGGATAAACATGAAGAAAAAAGGTACTGTAAAGCAATTTGTTAATTCTTTGCATTGAAACAACCTCAAAATCTAAGTGTTTTGTAAAGAAAGAGAACCAGGCTTAGAATTATTTTGTCAGGCCCGTTTTAGAGAATGAACTATTTCATGCGCTGAATCAAATGCAAATAAACTTAAAGTCGGTTCATATATGATCGCATCCAATTCACTTTTGATGGATGTTTTATAGTCTGTTAATGATTGCAATATGAGCGGCACATCAACTAAAGCCATTGCAGTACTGCTTTATTAATAACAGAGTACATCCCATACGTCAGAACGGATTTCGTGTGAACAGACCTTTAAACAAAGACTTTAACATTAGGTTCGGCACATGAAAAGTTTCACGTCTGAAATATGCCTCAGTACCTTTCAAACGGAACCATCTCAATTGGTGCGATGGTTGACGATCCGATAGCGATGACCAAATCAGTGTCTTTAAGTTTGGGATGTTTCATTGAGTTGGTTGTAACGCTGAGAGGAATGTTGCGCAGACCCGGTTTCGATGCGGAGAAACTAAATTAGTGAAATTATCATCAAAAGCTTTATCGAAATTCGTGGAAACGTAAAAGCTTGGTATACGTACTTTTCGCTGTTCGTTTTTGCTTTCTTCCAAGATTTCAAACCAATGTGTTTGAAATTCACTTGCACTGGAACATGCTGAGAAAAAAGTTGATGTAAAAATGGACGGCTTTCAAATACGTTTTGGCTTCGGTTTTAGCAACTTATAGGCCCATCTTTAGGCGGAAACGTCCCTGGGAATATCTCAAATATTTCTTAATATGATTTCAATTTAAATTCAAAGCTACAAACCGCATGATTATTGATGATAACTTCTTGAACGAGCAACGATGGCTTGTCTTGATGAGCATAAACTATGTGCTCAACAACAATACAACTTTTCTCCTGAAACAATTTATAAAAATGGTTTCTTGATAATCAAAATTGATTTGAAAAATTATGAAAAGGGTGTCAGACCTTTGAGTAACTGTGAATGTTGTGCACAACACCTCTTCTTAGGTCAATAACCGTAGCCTCTGTTGTGAGAAGAATACATATAGCATTTTTTAGCATTTCTCTAGTTTATTTTGACCAAAGCTTGATGAATGAAATTCAATACTACAAGAAGAAAAAGCATCTGAAAAATGAGAAATAAGTTATTGCAATGCCTTGATTAAAACACACTAGAAATTTTAATATTTAAATTTCTAATTGTAGATTAGGAAACAATGTGACTTTTCTAACCTCTTTGACTGTGTCCTTTATCAACAGTAAATGTTAGCAAAGATTCATACGGAATTTCAATGGAGAGAGATTCGCCGTCACTTATATATAGATGTCTATTTCCATTTAATGACATACCAATTACACCATTACCTAACAATTATGTGACAGAATTTATATATTGAGCAGTACTGCTATTAGCTTCATGTGCCAGTCTCAAGTGTAAGCTAATTGCTGAAAAATATTGGCAAAGCATATTCTCACCAACATAATTTAACACAGATTCTTCTTTTGCTTCTAGCGGATTATGCCAAATAATAGCATCTTTTAAGTCAATTGCTTCTTTCCAATGTGAAATTCTGTTCTCTAGACACACATATGCTTGATCTGGAAAATGTAAGTGTCAATTAGTTAACTAATAATCTAGTATGTGTAGTATGGAGTAAGAGTCTGTAGCATACTGTAGAGTCTAATATGCACCATCATTTTGTTACCACTCACCTATATGATAAGATCCTAAATACTTTGTGGGATGAAAACTTCTTAAGACAGGTGAAAAGATGAATATAACAACAGCAATAAGTAGGATAAACAGCAGACGTCTGCATCTTAAACTAAATGAAAGGGGGAAGTCTCCAATTATATTCACCAATACATTCAATCCTAATTTGGTGTAAGAAATCACCAGACGTTTTATTCAGAAGTTATTAAAGAGGTGCTAACTAGCCTAATTAGAGCAATCAATTTTACATAGATCTGGGTTATACAACACAAAATATTGTTAAAAGGGTTTGATAAGTATTTATAAATTATAAACAGATGTTAATTGACACCCGTGTCATAATCAATTTGATCAGTATCTACAGCTGACTGACAGAAATTTATCTGGCAATCTGGCCAAATACAATATTTTAATTTGAGAAAACGCCACATTTCATGCTATAATTTCGAGTAGGCTTTCACAATGCAGCGATGGTCGAGGTCCTCGCGTAAAGTTCCCCTCAGTGACACATTCGAGTGACATCGCATGAGAAATATTTAAATGACACATGAAATATTAACCAAATTTCCCCTTAATCGTAGAAAGGTATACCTCAACGAGGAGACGTAAAGTACCCTGCCTTTCAACCAATTCCGTAAACCATCCAAACGTTTGAAGACAAACATTTTGTCATAAATAATACAGAAAATACAATTGAAAAATCATCTTGATGTAAACAACACAATATAAACACCGAACGCCGTGATTGACGTCTTTACGGAAAATGCGGAAATTTGACGAAGGTTTTCGTCATTTATGTCGAAATGCAAGATGGCGACCAGAATCGTTCATTTTTCAACGCTTTCTCACTTTTGCAAAAGTGTTTCGAATCCTTTTGGTCGATTTTTTGCTAAGAAAAAGTTTACATCTACGTCTGTTTGTCCTGAAATCGACATTCAGTTTTGTCGATCACTATATTCGTGTAAACATTTGCGGAAAAAGCCGTATTTAGGTTGGAGAGGCATTAGGTTGAAGTTTAAATGGGTGCGTTCATTAGCGGGTGTTTCCAATTATGGGCCGAAAACGGCCAATCGCTTTTACTCGAGGGGTAGGAAAACAAGCAAGGATACCAAGGTGGCAAAAAAGCTAGAAAGTGCAAGCGAAAATGATGATTTAGATGAAGATATAGAAATTTTGGAAAAACTTCGTGATGAAGCAGGCTTAGATCATGGACATAATGTTCTGGTGGTACAGCCTGATTTCAAGTGGGGTAGAAACCGTTTTCATTTGGAGACAGTTGGACACATGCTTGGAGAAGCTATAAGTTTGGTGGAGTCTATCAGCGGTTGGAGTGTTGTTGAAAGCCGAACGGAACCGATCAGAAAGCCGGATGGTCGTCACTTTTTTGGAAAAGGCAAATTGGAGGAGTTGACGAAGCTCGTTAAGAAGTTGAAGGGTGCATCCATGTTGAGCGCAGTCTTTTTGGATGTTGGTCGTCTCTCTAGAAGGCAGCATTCTGAGCTGGAGGAATTGTGGCAGGTCAAAGTATTTGACCGGTTCAGTTTGGTTGTGCAGATTTTTAAAGAGAGAGCAGTCTCAAGTGAAGCCAAAGTGCAAGTTGAGCTTGCTGAATTAGGGTATATTAGGTGGGTATAAGCATAGAGCATTGATATTTTGAGTAACACTAAAACCCACTCTGTTAGAGTGATTCCATGGTAATCAGGGAACTGCACCATTAAAGCCATAGACTAGGATGTAACTGGCTTCTCCCTATGTTAATGTTCCCGATGCTTGCAGGTGAAGAACTGTATGTTATGTCATTGGTCACCAGTTGTATTCCTTATGTGTTGGGTGATTTGAATATAGTGAGCATCATAATTAGGATACATTTTGTAAAAATATAGCAAATGCTGTGCAAAATGCTGAATTGTGTTTTACAATGTTTCATAGGTCTCGACTGATACAGGATGATCTTAATAGCTATGACCAACAGCGTGGGGGCTCCCACAGCATTGGGGGTGGGGGAGAGACACACTTGGAGGTTGCTAGGAGAATGTTGATGTTGAGGCAGCAAAAACTGAAAAAAAAATTGGAAGCCATTAAGAAACAGCGGAGTTTAATAAGGCATGACAGAGCAAAAAGAAAAGTGCCAATTGTTTCTGTTGTTGGATACACAAATGCAGGTTAGTGAATGAAAAACTGGTATTGGATGTTTACAATTATCTACTCTTCATTTTTCGTATCTATAGACAAAAAAGAACAGTCTTTAGTGGAGAGAGGAGTTGAGGGAACTATCCAGTATAAAAAAATTAGCTTCGTTTAGGTTTCCTCTTGTAGTAAAACTGCATCAATGATAGAGGAATGTTACTGGGCTTCCAGTGTAAAGAAACAATCTAAAATTGAAATACAACCCTGTATGAATATAGTTATGATGCTTGAACAACAAAACTCAGTGAAGCTATGAAGAACAAGACCATTTTGAATGGTAGTGCCATGTGTCATTATAGATGATGCAGCTTAATTTAGACTTAATTTAGCTTTAGTTAAAGTAGAATTTTATCAGTATAGCTTTGTTGCGTGTAGATATCTTTTTAGTTTAATTTTACTCTGTAAACTGTTAATGTGGAAGATAGGCTAAATTATTATGCTTAAAATCAATGAACTTCGTTCAGGCAAGACGACCCTTATCAAAGCTTTGACACACGACTCTGAGATGCGCCCAGAAGACAAGTTATTCGCCACACTTGATGTGACAGCACATCGCGGCAAGCTGCCTTGTGGCATGAACGCTCTTTTTATTGACACCGTCGGTTTTATATCAGATTTACCACATGAGCTAGTCGAGTCTTTCTCAGCGACATTGGAGGATATCGTACACTCGGTAAGTAAAGTTGCGTCGCTGAGGGCGTTCATATTTCATACATCATATTTCTCATCCAAATGAGCCGACGATTTAGCGTGTAGAAAGTCTGATAAAGACTAAAACACTGGCATCTTCGTAGGATTTGCTTATCCATCTTCGAGACTGTAGTCACCCCGAGTTCGAGGCACAGAAAGTGCATGTCCTGGACGTTCTGAAGATGCTTCGACTTCCTAAATATCTGATGGAAAATATTATCGAAGTGCATAACAAAGTTGATCTCAGGTAAAGGGAATGAAAACAATTTAAAAAGAGAAACGGCATAATTACATTCACTGTCTTTGCCTTTGTCGTTTTGACTTTTTTAGAAATTGTCATTGCCTCTTTTTGGTACACAAAAAAACGGCATAAGATTTTCGATATGCCACACTATACCGCCAGAGCCAGAGGTCCACATATTTTTTCAATAGCGTAAGACCCAAGCCTGGGGCCTGTAGTGATGGATGTTCAGCCTTACAAGCTACAACAAAAACCACAACCCAACATTAGGCATCACACGCGCCACCGGCATCTGTTTAACGTATAGTTTTAATCGAAAACATTCTTTTATCGTGTTTATTTTTTTGAAGAGAATCTATCTCGGATGCCAGTGGAACGAGCGAAGAATGTTTTGAAGTTTCAGCATTGCATGAAACTGGTCTGAATGCTTTGTGGCTGGCTGTTGAGGAAGCTTTGTTTAGGACCACTGGACGGCAAAGAAAGACGATTGTTATCCCACATGATGGACCACAGTTGAGGTAATATTGCATGGGGTTACCTTCTCAATCATCAAACTGATCGAACAGTAATATATTTAGTACTATTATTCGTTCGTCCTTACTAGTGAGTCTTATACAATTCACCTTCCAGATCAAGTATATAACTGAATAAAAAAGAATCAAGGAAAGAGTTTAAACTTTTGGGGCCGGTTGTTCGAAAGGCTTTTAGCTTGAACGGTGGATAAGTTCAAAATGGAAAACAAAATTATCTATTGAACAAATGAGCTGACATATTTCGATGTAAATAGTTTAGTTTTCAATGGAAGAACATATTCAATTCATAAGATGTATGAGAATATTTTTAAACTTTGGCTTATCCACTGTTTAAGATAAACGCCTTTCGAACAACCGGCCCCTGGTGTCAATTATGCCATAATTGTGAAATCATAATCTTCGTTATCTTATATTATAGTTGGTTACACCACGAGACCACAGTCTGCGAGACGGAGACAATTCAGGACGATAGGCTAAAGGTGGAAGTAATCATGGACGAAGCAGCTCTTGGGAAATACAACTCGAAATTTGGAAAAATTGATTAATGAATGCACCGCTTTAGCAACCTCGTACAAGGAGCTCAATATGAAAGCACCCAGCGGTTGACAGAGGACAAACGTGAGCTTAAAAATTATACCTTGTAAATGTAGACTTTCACAATCGTATTGGGAATTTGGTAGCTTAGTATATGGGGTAAGTTGGATTGTGATAGTCGAATCCAAATTGATATATTATATGGTTGCCGTATAATGGTTGCCGTGAACTTATTAACTTAAGATCTTAATATAGTTAGCTAGATAGTTAGCCGGCCATTTGGGTTGGATTGTGGAGCATTTAGATAGTAAATCATTTTATAAGTTCATTTATGAAATATTTAGCTACAAAACCAGTTGGATCTAGTTGTATGGGGGCCATTTCATGCCTTATAAATTGGTTTCGCTCCATTGTGCATATAGGGTTTTGTCCTTATAAAACCATAATTATCCCAGTCTATCACCAAAGATTGTCGTAAATCCCCCAACTCCTTTTCCTCGTGCACTATTTTATATCCTAGTATTCCCATCACCCCCGCGCAATTGTTTTGAATTTCATCTATCATGGGCATTGTGAGCCTGCGTCGCCACAAATGTGGCACAGCGGACGAATTGCGTGTAGTCGAATAATAGTCCGAATTCGAAGAACTTTTCGTATTGATTTTCAACCAACCAATCACGCTCTCGGATGTGTTGCCGCCAACGAATTTGGAAATCTTTTTATAAATGGTCAGCGGCTGTCCTGAGATATCCTCGTATCGAACCATTGCATAATGTTCGCCTTTTTTCGCTCTTTTTGTCCAGTCATTTATGTCGTTTGCCATTTGTTGGCATAAGTTTTGCGACATAATTCGAACGTATTTTAATAATGCATTGCGAATGGCAGCTTCCTTTCGAGATGTGTTGCTTACGTTTCTCGGGAACCTATCGAGAAGCCACGCAACGCGAGATGCGATGATCCCGCGTGGATCTCGAACTAGATGAATCACCTTGAACGGAGTTGGCGAAGTGTCCACAAGGAAATCAATATTTTCCCAGTGTGCCATGCGAATCGTTTTTATAACCGTGTGGGGTCTGGAACTGCATACGTTCGTCAAAAAGGTCGCGTTTATCCGTCTACATAAATGCATTTTTTTGGAGGTTGCCCTGGGGTCACAGAGACCTTTCGATGTAAGTGCCTGACTTTTCAACCTGAATGACGAACTCGTTAAAGTGTTCACGAACAAAGGGTCTTTCCTAAAGTCACATTTAAATATAGTGTCTAACAAGCTCCGAATAAGTGTATCGTAAAGTATCGGAAATCGTCGTCGTGCGTCGAGAACCGCATCGATGGTATGTATTGGCTCGAAGATATAGAAAGCGTTTGGGTCGCGGTTGAACATTTCTCCAAGAAAAGACGACCCGGATCTGTGATAGGCTACAATAATCACGTTCGCACGTGTCTTCGAGTTACCCACGCGAAATTCACGAGGGAGTTCTGAACTTTCTATGCGAGTCACAGCCTGCGGTTCCACATAATTTCCATTCGACAAACCTGCGTTCTCAGAAATATGTCTCTTTGATTGGTGAGATTCGTAAAAGCGTTTTCTAATCATGTAAACGTTTTCTTGAAAGCGTCTTCGAATCGCTTGTCCTAAATCGTCTTCTGTAAATTGGCTTTCATTTTGAGATTTGGCCAAATCTAGAATTCTATCGAATATTTTATCATCAATATCGCTCACCATCTGACTAGTACTACTCCTCGCATCTTGTTTTGTGTTGTGAAGATTTGTGTTTTTCCACAACTTTGGCTTGTTTGCATCCAAGGCCAAATTCTGCCGTTTCATCTCCAAAAGCAGTTCACTAGCCTGTCTGAGTTGGCTGTAGACCGTCAGCAGTACATAGAATGCAAGCAATGTTACTAAAACAATCCCGCATCGAAGAAGTAAAGATTTCTTGTACTTCAATGATCTTCTGGTATTATTCTTCTCCATTGAATGGCTCGTATATATCACTTCGGTTCCTGTTTCCATGTTTACCTGATGTTTCGATCTAGATCCTACATGAAAGCAAGGAAAACTAGTTTGAAATAACTATTAAATCATCATCGTGATGAAGTTGGGGTTGCGGACTGTAGGGAACCGCAGATGGCTGCATTTTCATTTGTTGGCCGTGTGAAAGTAGTAGACCGCTGGGACTATGCGGTGATAATTCGACGATCGGTCGTGGCCGGATATCTTCGTCTTACGTTCGGGATGAGCCGTCTCTAACATAAATTTTGTTCGATCTATACATTATGTACCCCATCCAAGATTCCCATAAAGAAATCAAAGGTATTTATATGATTTATTTATTCTACGTGATTCACTCTCGAAAGCTTAATTATTTGTAAATTGTGAAGTAGATAACTTTCACATCTGTCTGATAGATCAAGCTATCCAACCGTACGTAAATTACATATGAACAACAGTCCCCTGCCCCTTGCAGGTTCCTTTATTGTAATAATATAGCGTCTATCAACTACCTGCTTCACATAATGTAAATGTAAACTGAAAGGTGTTATGCATATCATGTACGTTTACATGTTCTCGCTGTATCTGCTAAACTTCTTTTCTCGATATCGATAGCTCACTAGAAATCTACACTACAGCCATCGCTTATTTCTCCGGTTCAAGCTTTTTACCGAAGGAAAACTAAGCTGACCAGGCTGACCCCATTCCATCCGACTAAAAATTCTTCATCAGCTGGCACACCGGTTTTCGAATTGAGCCAGTTTTGAGTTCTTCTCACGAGCGAGTTTCCATTCGCGCGCAACAAATATTGCCTTTTCTTCTTCATCTTTCGACTGGAACCGTCAAAAGTGGTTAGATTGACAGAGAAGAATAAGATCGTTTTGCGTTAAATCGCTTATGAAAACCGGCTCTACAGTTCATGCATGGTCTATTTCTTTATGTGGGTGGCAAAAAGTGTTTTTGCTAAAATAACCAGAAATCCAAACTTTACCGGCCTATTTTATACTGTAGAGCCTTATCTAGTTCTAGTTTTTCCTCTCAAAAGGTCATGGAATAATTACACGATGAGCAGTTGGTCTCCCTAAAGGTTCCACACTCATGCCAGTTGATCTATAATGGGCTATAGCAGCTATCTTCAAACCATGCATATAGACTTAATACAGATTGCTAAGCTACCATTCCAGTGTTTCCACGAGGGTCATCTTTTGTTCATGCTAATCGATCTAGGAGGAAAACCCCGTACTATCTATGTGCATCCTGGTAGTTATCACCGCTCATTGATTGCAAGCTACGTCTTTGGCGGTGTTCACTAGAAGCTCACCCCAAGCACGCTTTGACGTTTGAACACGGTCATTTGATCAGTCGACGTCGGTACTGTACAAACATGAAATGTCGCAAATATTCGTGGAAAAGTGCATCATGCTTTGAATTGTTACTTCTCCAACATCTCGCGAGTCCGATAATTTAGCCCGGCTTAATTAAACAATAGTCCAAACGACCGTAAAAATTTTATAGGAGAGAAGGGATCCAGCTTGTATAAACCAGACATATTATGGCGGGTAACTGTTTAAGTGGAATGATTATATTTTACTGTATTGAGAGGAAAGAAGTTTTTCTTTCGTATCCTAAAAAAGCGCGTTACCTTTTTGCATCTTTTTCTTCTTCAATACCCTCGGAAGTGAGTTGCAACTTTGCCTTGGGAAACTCTCCCACAGTGAAAGAACGTACAGACACTGAAATTACACAGGCTGGCTGGAGTAAACAACAGTTTGGCTGGTTGGAGTTTTTTGTTGGTCGTTTAAAACTAATGAAAGCAACGCAGCTTTCTAACCATCACCTACTGTTCACTAAGTCGGACTTCTCGGACGAAAGCATGAAACAAACATGTATGTTGTACACGATGCTCTTTTTTCTAGACGCGTCTCTGTTTACTGCTGCGTTCTGGGTACGTTCCACGTTGCAACCTCTTTGTCTGAAATTGACAGCCGCTAGCAAGTACGTTAGGACGCTTGGTTTGTTCTCAACGCTCCGATGGGTTAGTTTACTGACCGCGCTTTCCGCGTTCTGAGCCTGCGTGTTTACGGTCGAGTGTACAGCTGAATACAATTCGAGTCCAAATCCAATTCCATATATCAGAAATGAATTGGATCCGGCAACAAAATTAGATCGTATAAACAGATCTTAATATATCTACTGTTCTCACGGAAATTTTAGCAATAAAATACAAGCGCCTGAAAAGAAATAGGTTGTCGCTTAATTATCAGGTGGTTCAAGTAAACGAAAATTGCATAATTTATAGCTTATTGCATTTATAGTTTCTCGGGTTCTCTTGCAATGCGAAATATACAATACGTTATTTTCATCATAGTAACCATAGTTTTGTTCAAATTTTGAATGTTTTGTCACTGCATTATATTTTCAAATAAACACCTCATTTGCTATTGCGCGCCAAGACGAGACACAGCTACTAGACATCTAAGTGGAACAATCTGTGTATATATGAATGAAATCGGATTAATGTATATGTAAAGAGAATATTTATACAATAAAGCTACAGTAAAGATTATAGAAAAGTTGCAGTAAAGTTTTTACACAATAGAATAATTAATTTTGCACTTAATCATGCCCGTCTTGGTATATATGATTAATTAATTTTCTTTCAAAAATTTTCTTCCGTTTGCCAAAAACCTCGCCATCGCTCTTTGCCGTGCCAGCCACATTTTGATCGCTTTGGGTTTGAATACTTGTACTTCCTCTTCCGAACTCGTTCCCAGTTTGTTGCCTGGAAGAGCCTCGCGTCTCGTCTCATCCTTTCCATTTACGCCGTCACAAAAGTAAAGCACCGAGTCACAATTTGCCCTTACGTGAACGGCTGTTATGACCAACACTAAGGCGACCAGAAGTAATCTTGACATCCTAAAATGGTGAAATAGAGGTCCCAAGGGTCTAAAACGTGTTTTAATGGATAAACTGCCAGTTTAGAACTGTTCCTTGAAGTTCCCAATGCTTCTTTTCTCTCTCTCTCTCTCTCTATCCAATGCTTAATTTAAGGGCAGACTACAGATACACAATTGTTTAAGTGTAAAATCAAAAGTTAAATACGCGATGACTTAAGAATTATGCTATTATATATTAACATTTAAAATACAATTACCTTGGGCTGCAATTGGTTTTTAAAAAAAAAGCTTTAGAAATTATTATGTTGTTTCTGTCCTGGCGTTGGCTGTTTGTTTAAACTCTTTTGAAACGCCAGCTCGTTTTATACAATAGTCGAACGCGAGATTAATAATGAAACATGCATTTAATGTCAATTAATAAGTAGGCGACTTAAACAATTAATATGGTAAATTAAATCGAAACGTGCTGTTTTCGTAACGTAAATGATGCTGATTTCGAGATTACGTCGCTGCGTGAGTCGAATGCGCGCGTCTAAATAAGTAATGAGAAACGTTTTATATTCACACCTGGGGCCGCTCGTGTTTTTTGCGTCTATATACAAAGAGAGTGACATGAATGAACAAAGTGACATAAATGATAGATTTTCAGTACATGCATGCATGGTTGTATAAACAGTTTAGAAACTGCATCGAGCAAATCGAGTCAAATGCTCAAAAGGAGCTATTAGAGAACATCTTGAAAATCACGTTTTCTAATGCCAACACCTCTCTGATACAATAGTCTTTTAACTTCACCTTTTTATTCTGAGTATCGTTCAAATAGGAACACCTTTTATATGGACACCCACCTCAATATACCGGTCATTCCTCTACAAACAGATTTTCTCTCTATAAGAAAGACACTTCTCTAATACAGAAAAACATTTAAACTATGGGCACTCTTGTATTATTAAATCCTTGTACACACTCTACTGGTATAAGGATCTCTTTTAATGCATATATAGACACATCATAAAGAAATTCTTCTAAGAAACACGGTCTTAAATTGAACACTTGTATCCTACAAGAAAAACTATACACTATAAACCATGCACTCTATAGAATAGATAATCCCTCTGTATTGCTGTCTCTCTATATAGATGACTTTCGATATGGCAACTAATCTATAATACAAACACTTCTATGATTAATGGATACTTCTCTGGCTCGAATTATTACTTTCTAGTATACGGGTGTATTGCTTCTACTCGTGATCACGTGGAGTTTTCCTACAGAGTCACAAGACAAAACACAAGCAACTAAAGCGAGTTCCTAATGGTTTGCCTTGCGATTAATATAATTGATTTTAAGAAAACACCATGTTTGCAGCTTTGCTGCGTCTTCGGTCGATATGCCCGGAGTTTCATCGTCAAAGAATTTTATAATCACGCGCTGATAAAGTTCCGGGCATGCAGATGAAGCGCTTTGTGAAACAAATCGTGCTGCGCAGTACAAAAAGAATTAAGCAGTGGGAAGAAGTAACTTCCCACCATTCATTAAAAGCATCTGCAACCATGTTTTGGGGGAATTTACTAGAGGAAAATTCTTTAAGAAAACTTTAAGAGCAGTGTTTCGCGGAAGGAATTTCAAAGTGCTCTGAGCTAAGAATGAATTAAAGTAATGCTAGATATCAGATGAAGCCAGATAAAGCGCGAAGGACTACTTCCGTGTACACGAGCCTCGTTTTCTCCACGTAGCTTTGACTCGAGTTGTTGCATGGCTTAGTTTAGGGAACTGTCAAATTGCTCGTGACCATGCGCATGCCCTTTCAGAGATGTTCATTAATCACTCTTGACCCTTACCTGCGCTCAGTTTAGTCAACTGATGACAAATCTGTACTTTATTAAGAAAAATTCCTGACGTTTTAGTAAAAGCGCCTTCCTCAGAGGAGTTAGTTTATCCGCTAGCCCTTTTACTAATTAACTCTGCTAACGCATGGCTTTGGATTGAAACGTTGGGATAATGAATATCTGGAATCATTGCAGTCGACGATAAGAAAGCTGATGACTGCCTACTTGCATATTTGGCTACTCAGCATCATATTAATACTAATAGCCGCGTGATTTATTGGGTTTTGGATCAAATTCAATTGAACAAAACACGTTCTAATCATTGAAGCAATAGGTTGACAGAGCCATAAACCGTCGACTGGTATAACTATAGTTAGTATACTGTTTTCAGTGTCCAGTTTCTTGGTAAACGTTTACTTTTCATTATTTACGAAATTCTGGCAGGTCTTCAAAGTTCCAAGTAAAGGTTTACCAATCATAACTTCGAGAGGCTGAGAGGTCAGTATCTATAAGCAAACTATGTTAGTATTAGTGATGAAAGTATAATAATTTTTATTATAATTACAGATTGACGTTCAGTGCGGCAAACCATATCGCTTTTCTCGTAGGTAAGTTCCACACATTTGTAATGGATTGTTACAAGAAAAAAAGTGTGAGATTTTCCTCGCAACTTGCAGTGCAATTATAATTTCGAGGGATGTTAGTTTGTAAAGAGTGTTCGAAATGCTATGAAACGTTGGCATATCGTAAGAAATTAAATGATTTGCAGTATCACTATCAGGATTAGAATTGCATTTCAGTTGCAAGGAAAGTAAGTTGCATAGTGTAACGCCGCCTTTAATGCCTTATCAAACTTTGATCCATTTACCTCGTAGACCGTTGTAGTCGACTTTAAGTCCAGTGTTAGCTTTGAAATCGCTATAGTACATGCAGACATCCCCCCCCCTTGCGCGAAGGAACAACGTCTCTTTATCAGGTGGGGGGGAAGCTATGAAAATCAAAAATTCCGAAAGTTGGCAGCATATAAAATTATAATTGATTTTAAGAAAACACTGCGTCTTCGGCCGATATGCCCGGAGTTTCATCGTAAAGAATTTTATAATCACGCGCTGATAAAGTTCCGGGCATGCAGATGAAGCACTTTGTGAAACAAATCGTGCTGCGCAGTACAAAAAGAATTAAGCAGTAGGAAGCAGTAAAAGGCTTCCCACCATTCATTCAAGGCATCCGCAACCATGTTTTGGGGCAATTTTCCAGAGGAAAATTCTTTGAGCAAACTTTAAGAGCAGTGTTTCGCGGAAGGAATTTCTCTAAGGAAGTGCTCTAAGCTAAGAATGAATTAAAGTAATGCTAGATATCAGATGAAGCCAGATGAAGCGCGAATGACTACATCCGTGTACACAAGCCACGTTTTCTCCACGTAGCTTTTGACTCGAGTTGTTGCATGGCTTAAGGTTGGCCGTTGGCATATCGTAAGAAATTAAATGATTTGCAGTATCACTATCCCGGCAGGATTAGAATTGCATAAGTCCAGTGTTAGCTTTGAAATCGCTATATATGTTTAGTACATGCAGACAATCCCCCCCCTTGCGTGAACGAACAACGTCTCTTTATCAGGTGGGGGGAGCTACGAAAATAAAAAATTCCGAAAGTTGGCAGCATATAAAATCGTATCTCGTGATATTCTGCTGATTTTCTCAAAATTCAAATTCTTGAAAATGTCAAAGGTCACAAAGCGGCTTATAATATCTTGTGATTCGTACAACAGAGAAATTGCATCGTAACACTTGGCCTTTCGACAACGGGTAAGGACGCATTCATATACAAGTTAGTTGTAGCTACTTTGCCCAAATACTGTTGTTATTATAGATATAATTATTGAATTACGTTTTACTGCAAGGGCGCTTTTCTTCAGAGATGAGTGACGATTTAGGTCGGTGTTCCACAGTTTTTATAAGACTGCGCCGTTTGAACACATTGTTCTTTTGCACGAGCTTACTACGAAAAATGAAATACTAAAACTGAATTCCGAACGAAATATTTCTATTTCAAATATGAAATAGGACCGATTAAAGCGTTGTATTTACTTTCGGCATTATTTGTCATTCAAACTTCCGCTTTATATTTTTAAATCAGTGTCTCGTGACTGGCTGCCATCAATTGAATAGAAATGGTACTTGGAATATAGACAGCCACGACAGGTCGAAGATTAGCTTCGTTTTTGTATAGGAGAGCGGTATATGGCATGTAGGGTCTGGGGTTTTGATTTAAAAGGATGACTTTCGGGGACTAGCCGTTTTGTTTCGTGATCACGAAGATCGAAGGTTCGCATGACTTGGTGTTTGTTATTTTTATTTCATATATTCGATCAATAATTTGGCACATTTTGGGAAGAGAAATTTTTACATTTCCGCGTTGCTGAAAGTAAAGCATATCTTACTTTCAGATCTGTGGCAGATCGTTTACTTTAGTGTTAGAAGGTAAGATAGCACATAGATAAGGATATCTGTAGCCTGTAAAATCATAACTGTTGTCTGTAAATCAGGGAAAAGCAAAATTTTGTCCCAATATTTATCTTGTGTTATTCTCGTGTTTTATCATGTGATTTATTTCTGCTACATATTTTTTGTAGCTGCCTAATAAAATTCGATGCTGTTGGGCTCTAATTTATATTATGATTCTGTGATGCACTTGGCCTCAGCCCTCAACATCACAGACCGGTTTGGCCCAAAGTCCCAAACATATGCATGGGTCATTCTGCCCCCCTCTTTCCCACCCTGCCTAACAATTTTCCCTTTCCATACTGAACTATACTAGATGGATTGACTGAGAGACTTATTCTATCAAGAGCTTGTTTTCCTAATGCAGTTCTTTGCTCTCCTATATTTGCATCACAGTATTCACCTTCACTATTTGTATTGATTTCATAGAATATGGAACGTTCTTTTGAAGGAACAAGGTCAGTGGATGAGAGCTCACCACTACTAACAGGACTATCAACACCAGCTATAAATGAACAAGAGTCAGCTGGTTCTTCTAAAACTGGGATTTTCTCTTGTGCTGTCATCTGTATACTCTTTACAGAGTTGTGTGAGCGACTGACGTTTTATGGCATCAATGGTAATTTGGTGTTGTTTGCTACTGAGAAAGACCATTTGCATATGCAACCATCCAAAGCCTCGATTTTAGCATATGTGTGGTCAGGTAGGTACATTCTGCCAATATCCCTGTGCCTACATGAAGTCAACCTTGACAGCCTGTATTTTTCCAAATTATATAGGAACATGTTTCACAATGCCAATTATTGGTGGTTGGTTGGCAGACTCGAAATTTGGGAAATTTGCAGTGATATTCTGCAGTGCAATCATCTACCTTATTGGAACGCTGCTATTACCCCTTGCCTCGATTACAAGTGACAAATCAGAACACAGTCAATGGGCTGCAAAAGGCATTCTTATTAATCCAGTTTTTACAAAAGTGGTTTATATCACTGGCTTATTCCTTGTTGCATTTGGAACAGGTGGAATAAAGGCAAATGTTTCCCCATTTGGGGCTGAACAGGTTTCCAACCGAGGACCGGCTGCTATTCAAGGTACTGTTCTCAACTAATATAGCAGGTGAAGCACTAGTTTGTCTTTGCACTATTCACTTATGTAATAGTTGATAAAAGAGTATATTGGCCTTTTTGGGGAAAATTGGAAATACAGATTTGACCAAAATTATCCTTTATACCAATTAGGGTGGACTTGTGAAACAATTAAGTCCGTCTGGAAACCTGTATGAGACCAAGAAAGTCAGTCCATGAACTCATTTAAGATGAGTCTATAATAGTGTGCTTTTCCTATCAAATACAAACGCGTACAAAAGTCGGTCCCAGAACGAAGGCAACCCCCCCCCCTTCCCCAGATAATTTCTTGATGTGCGCCCCTGAACGTACCCTAGGGTCCATACCAAACCTAAGCCCAAAATGCTAAACGAATTTCTCATTGTTATTTTCAAGCCTTCTTCAGTTGGTTTTACTGGTTCATAAACATCGGCGCTCTGCTTGCATTTACCTTTGTCGTGTATATCCAACAGCAAAAGTCTTATTTTTACGGAAATCTCATTCCCGCCTGTTCGCTTGTGCTAGCGCTTATCATTTTCCTCATTGGCAAGCCAAGCTATAAACTTTGTCCACCAACTGGTAGCGTGCTGGAGACGACTCTAGCGATTATGAAGGAGGCGATAAAAAGGTCAAGAAGGCGGAGGTCGTCTGTTTCCAATGATTTTGTCAGCCATTGGCTGGATAGAGCTAAACTGTCTTATGGTGGTTCGTATAGCAACTGGGAGGTTGAAGACGTAAAAAAGGTCTACAGACTTTTGCCGATATTTGCCACTTTTATTTTATACTGGACCGTCTATGCGCAGGTACGCTGTTAAAAATGGCTCTAGTACTGTAGTAGTAATGGCTGTAGACTCTAGTAAAGCCATTTTCAAGGAGGTTTTTCCTTAGACCCCTGTTTAGTTCAAAATCCTGGCTATGCCTCTAGATATTAGTCAATATCAATATCTATTAGATATTAGACTAATGTTTAATGTTATTCTTGTGTGAATATTGTGAATATGTTCATATCGTTAGATTCATCGTTAACATTGATAGTTCTTCTTTAGTACCCGCGTGAGGAGAGGGGACAAATTCGTATCAGTTTTCCTTAGGTTTTCTTGCTCATCACGAACCAAAATTCTCGTTTCTACAGATGAGCACATCAATGGTCTACCAAGGCGAGTACATGGACATCAATATAGGTGGCGGTTTTCTGATTCCCATCGCTTCGCTCGCTCTTCTCGACACTCTGGGTGTCCTTCTTCTCATACCCTTCATGGACAAGATCTTTTACCCTCTTATGGAAAAAGCTGGCTTTCAACGACCAAGCCAACTGAAGCGTATTGGAATCGGCATGGTGATAGCCACTGCGAGCATGGCCTGTGCCGGGGGGATTGAGTTGGTCCGGAGGCACAATTGTTGTATGATGCAACATCGAGAGGGTGGCAATGCTAACGGCACGCGTATTTCCCAAATCACGATATTCTATCAAGTTCCGCAGTACACGTTGGTTGGACTCAGTGAGGTTTTCACCAGCATCACAGGCAAGTTATCCTTTATATGTCGACGTTGATGTAATAATGTATTTCAATTTTCAAACAGGCAGAAAAAAAGCTTATTGTTTATATCGCTTTGCCATATACCGTTTCACCTTGCATGCAAATTAACCCATTTGAGATGTTGTGACCATGGAATAGCCAATAATACTTAACCATTTCAGACCATGTGATTTGACATGTAAAAGATGAATAGGCTGCCCTTACCGTTAACTGGGAATATAGCAAGCTTTCATGAAAAAACTGTTTAATTTTATTTAAATGTTTCATTGTGTAAGTCCGCATTCGTATGAAATAGTTGAAAGAAGACGTGGAATTGTGGGAATGATATAGCAAAAAATACACTTCCCAAATTCGCTTCAGTAAAAAAGTCAAACTAATCAGAGTGCCTAAAATTTATTCCCGTGTGAAATAGTAAATAACGTACCTTTTCAACCGGAAATACTCAATATTTCTGCATTCTGATTGATTGGGTCACTGAAAATGTGAACAACAAACAAAACATAAAGTTCATATAGTTAATGTAAAGTGTAAACCACTGCATGCCAGCTGACGTCTTAATCCATTTTCATTCACTCATTCAGGTCTAGAACTTGCGTACACAGAAGCACCGAAATCTCTTCAAGGTGTAATCATGGGTGTGTACCTTCTAACAACTGGTCTGGGGACTTACATTGGAGCCGCGCTGGTGGCGATAGTCAATGCGATCACCGAAGCAGTCAATGGAAAGGAGGGGAAATGGTATCCGGACACTGATCGAATCAATGAAGGTTATCATTTGGCCTACTACTTCTTTTTGCTCGCATTTATAATGTTCTTAAATTTTATTCTGTACATATTCGTCGCCCTGAGTTTCAAGGTCAAAAAAGAAACGGCGAATCGGGCGGGCGTGTCGAACGGGGCTATGAATGGAGGCGAGCCACCGCCGGGGGGCACAGCAAGAGTTGCGCAGGATAATTCTTGGAGCTCTTCTGCAAGAGTGTCTAATTGATGATAATTACTGACCGCATGTTCGGTTCGTTGTATTTATTTTTCACAACATCTCCAGGGCAGATAAACGTTTTTACAAACGTAGATTGTAATGAAAATGATTTCTAAACAATTAGATAATTCCACTTCCTTCGTCTTATATAAACGTGAATTAGACGTTGAAAACCCGTAGGTCAGATGATGAAACTCAGATGATGAGTTTCAAACAAAAGGCTGAGTTTAGCTTTTATAAATCCGAAAAAAATAATATCATAATTAACAAATTCTAGATTTCAGAAAGCTAAATGTCGGGAAAAAGAACAACTCCCCTCAAAATTTTGTACATTTTCAAATTATTTTTTGTGAAAACATTAAATGAGACTTTAATATATACGAGAAAGATCTCAAGACGCAAAGACTCAAAAAATTTCATTTATTTTATATAAACAGTGGCCTGTTTTAAGTGTTTTTATAATCTTTCATGGTAGTCTCAGCCTAAATTGGCTAAAATTAAACAACAATAGTTCATCTTTGGTACTTTTGCCTAAATATAAACTTCGAAACTCAAACATAGTTTTAAAATAGTTTCCATTTTTGTGCATGAAAATAATGTAGAAATATATATACTGTAATGTTTTAGTGTATTATAAATTAAATTTTTGAATTTCTGATAATTTGTGAAACGGGTTAAATTTTTGCATGGGTATTAAATACCAGAAAACAGTAACAAAAAAATACGTTTTTTGAATGCTGTTAATTAATTTGAATTGACAGTTCATATTCATATAATTACATTACAAATGATCCAAAAAATATTCTCCTACAATAATTTTTATTCTACCCCAATAAACAGCGCGCAATTAAAGGACTTGAATTTTACGTTAATCAACGTCAAGTGCAAACAAGTGCAAGTAATTGTCCAAGATAGTATCTTCGTACCCAGGTCCTTCCGCGTACGACGCGACAGCCTGATTAGCAAGTCTCAGATTGTCCCAGCTTCTTTAGCTTTTATTATGGCGGACTTTGGTTAGCCTGTGAGCAGGCACATGATTATGAACTTGCCTACTAACATATCGCAATCTTGGCATAATGTTCTTAGATGCATGTCGTCCCACGGGGATTTACATTACATAAAGTCCACCTAACCCTTATTCATAATAAATATAGTGAACATTGATTTTATATATTTAATGTTTTTCTTATATTATCCGTCATTGCACATTAGCTATTATCAGGCTATTATTCACTCCAGACAAATGACCATCGTTCATATGCAAACTTGGAGCTCTTCAAAGAATTACACAGGTCTAAAAGAAACAAAAAATCTGGTAAGTATATACCTATCCCATAACTTCTTCAGAAAACTGGTAAAGTTATGGCCAATATTCGTAAAGTTTGTTTATAGATTGTTCATAACGTGGCCTTTATACTGAGAGATAACGGTGCTTTTCGGGAAAAACTATATCCAAGGTTAGCTTAGCTAAAACTTAAGTTTTGTAGTACTGCATGGTGTGATTATTTCAAGGAATGAAGGAAAGAAACTTTTACCCCTTCTCTTTCCCTATTTTGGATGTTTTCGTGCACACCAGGGGGAGGGGGTGATTGGCGGCGTCCTGTTCTTCTTTGAAGCACTTGCTGTTGTCGTTGTTGTTGTCTTTGATGCTGTTGTGGCACGCCAACTCCAACCCTCGCTTGTTCTTCCTGATGGAGTTGCCTCGCGAACTGCAAACTAAAAGGTAGAACTTGGAAGATTAACCGTCGATTTGTGTTAAAGTTTAGAGTTTAGACTAACCGAAGGTTGCTCTTTCGCTCGTTAATACGATAAGGGCTATTTCCACTGTCGCGTTTTTTGTACGTACGAATACGCACGTAAACGTTTAAAATCAATTAAATGATACTTATGAAACAACGATTGAATACATGCTGTTGATGATTTGGTGTGTTCTTTCTGGCATAAAATTAATTAGCTATATAGATAACAACTTAGAAAGTTTTACGCGTGTGTACGTAGCTACGTGCAAAAAACGCGACAGCGAAAAGCAGGCCTGTTCATATGAGATGGGCTAGCTCGGCAGTGCCGGGATTTCGCTTCACATATTATTTCACTATATTTGTAAGATTGCATTCATATGGAACCGGGCCAGCCTGGCTCTGGTGAGATTGGCCGCCTGAACGATCCCGGCTAAACCGGGCTGGCCCGTCTCATATGAACGTCTCATAATCTAAGTAATCTTACTCAGATTAAAGAAAGCGAAAGATGATTTTAAGAGCCATGGGTGCATGTGTCTGGCCTTAATAAAAACTAAGGCATACGAACTTGCTTAACTTTATGGTACAACCATAAAGTCCTTATACAACACTTATTATACTTGGAAACTTACTCGTAGAATTCCTGTTCGCTCATATCATTTCCCCGGTTTTCTTGGGGGTGTAGTGCGGCGTCGGGTAACTGGGGCTGTGCTGGGGAAGATGGTTGCGGCCCTTGTTGTTGTTCGTTCTGGATTGACAAGGCTAACATGTAGCTGTGGTAAAATTGGAGTTGTTTATAATGTCAAACGTTGTTTATTTCGTAGGACGGGGGAGGGGGTTCTGTGAGTTGTAAGTCCGCCCAAATGCAAAATCTTAGAATGTGCCCCAAACGATTTGTGGCGCGCATGTCGACAGGGATTAGTACTCGGTTCTCCCCGCCAACTATTGTTCAATAGTTTCAGTCTTTGAGAACTTTTTAAATTTTCGTGTAAACATTTTAACACTATTGTAGGTAAACAGTTCTCACTGGTCGTCGCTGGTACATATACAATCAAATATGTGAACGCTTTTAGGATGTGGGAAAAACGGGAAAAATATCATATTCAGACAAGATATTTAAAATGCCAGAAGCCAATATATCAATGTAAGTAAAATCGTTACCGTAGGCAAAATTCACAGAGAGAGAACAATTTTTCCAAGCTAAATCGACTTACTCTTGGTCCTCTTGGGATAAAGCGGGGTTGCCCGTTGACCAGTTGGACTGCACAGGCTCGTTTTTCATTGATAAGCTTTTGAAATTGCAATCAACGAACACACCACTTCCATCCACGTTTGATAACGTTTGCCAAACAATTTTGTCCTCGGTCAGAAAACCTTGGTCGGTCAGAAGCAGAAATAATTCACCCTGCATGAAAATAAGAGTTCGTTTTGATGGCCAACTGCAATACGATTTAGTGAGATGAATTTGTCAATTTGGGTAGTTTTCATGCCAAAGTCTTGAGCATATATTTGTTGACTTATTTCAAGGCTTTCTGTCAAGAAATACACAAACTAGTTTTGTTAATTGTAGGACTCAATTAGACTTCTTGATCATAGTCTACCTTATGTTTGTACAATGTACTGAAATGATTATTTCTGAAAAACACACATAATTCATCTCGGTTTAATTTAGCGTTCAACTCGCAGACACCATGATATGTGAGCTGGTTCGCTGTATCTTGGAGGAACGTCTCTGCTAAAAGACCTTCGAAAATATGGTTGATTGTTATTAATCAGAAATTTTCTATACACAAATTAGCTTTAAATATACATCTAACATACCCTCAGATGATAATTCACTATCTTCATTACTTTCTTTACTTGCAACAATTTTCTCTACCAGTTGATTATAACTAAGGTTCTTTATCGCCTTTTTGTATTCGGTACTCTGGGGATCAACCAGCCATCCATGATAAAGGTGAATACTCAATAAGTCAAATATTACACATTCTGGTGTAAATTCAAATTCACCAACACTATGGGAACACAAAATATAAATTAAAACTTGGCCAATAGATTACAACTCTGTCAAAAACCTTAAAATCTGAGGAAGACTACAAAATCTTAGTATGAGCACATTAGAATATTTTAGAATATTTGCAAATATTGACCAGAGATTCTCCTCTGTGTAATGGTAGTTGAACCACACAATTAGCTACTTCAATTTTAAACAACACGTACCCTGTAAATCTAACATTGACGTCCAGACCAGTTTTGAGTTTTGGCAAAATGCCCAAAGCATCTTGCATGTTTTGTTCAAAGTTTCTTTGTGCTCCTTCTGCTAAATTCTGAAAGAAATACATGAAAGAAATTAACAGTACATATATACTTTATTGAAAATAAGTCTGACTAAGTTACTAGGTTAGGTTAATTAGTTTTACAAATTATGTCTTTTGTGCATGGCCCCAAGAATTACATTACAGACTATAGGGAAACCTGAAATTTGGACATCTATATTAGATTTTGTTGTTTCAAAGACCTCTTTGGCCTTTAAAGACCTTTGAAAACAACCATTGCAGACCTTTAAAAACCACCTATGCAGAAACTGAACTATTATATACTAAACAGCAATACTACACAGGTGCATGCATGAAAAAAAGGGGGAGAGTTGAGCTCATGTGGGAAAATTTTTCATTTTTCCTTGACTGGTTGATCCATTATTGGTTACACCATGCACCAACCTCTGGAATCTCCTTTAGCACAACATCACCCAAATAATCCATAAGTTGCTGCGTGGTGACCATTTCTTGCATGCTTGGGAATTCAATAACTCTCCTTAATAACAAAATATTTATAATTGCAAGTAAAGGGCATGGGCCATTATCATTCTGCGTAACAATGGCGGTCTTCATTCCTTTCCACGTTATCCATTTGACGTAATGTGGACTATTATTGTCATCTAAATATTCATTTTGATCGGGTTCATTTTGGCTACCACCAGTTTTTGGTCCTTGTGAACTGCTTGGACCACCTGGATCATCGTTTTTCTCGTCAAATTTGGATTCTTCGACATTATTTTTAGTATCGTCAGTCTTTGATTCTCCAGAATTATTGATGTCGTTCGTATTCCTTTGGCCATTCTCTGATTCGTCTGTGGAGTTAGTCGATTTTGACCTATTAACATCACTCATGTTACTTTCGTTAATAATTTCGCTATTCGTCGGTTGTTTTAAAGAATTAGACTGCACTTTTTCGGCTTCTTTGCTATCTGCAATTGGGCTATTTTCGGCATGTTCCCAATGAACAGGTGTATCTTTCAAATCAACGTGTGTTTCTTTCTTTTTATCCGTCAAATCGCTTGAAACCGCATCGGTATGTCCATCCTGAGATTCATCTATCATAACATCAATCCCAGCGAGTGTGTTTGGTTCTAATTGTTTGGTTCCATCATCTTCTTCCAAATTCGACGTAGAATTGTTCTCCTCGTCCATTACGTCGATATCGTTTATACTTTATACCCTCATTCAAACTCTGTTTACCCTCAGAATCATTCAATTTCTCGTTTTCTGCCGACGGGGATGAATTCACGTTATGGATTTTAGCAATTTCCTTCACATAAAATCATTTTAGGCGCCATTATATAAAAGCAAACACAATATCAAAGTGTGTTTATATTTTGTCAATGAAAGTCGCCATGTTATGTTTCTGGAAACGAAATGTAACATTTTTGTATAAACCGGAAACGTAGAAAAAATGCACCCTGATCTATTAATTGTACTGGACCATGATTGTCACGCTACTTTTGCAAATGAATGAAGAATGCTGTGATCAGCCGATCGATCTGTACTCTGTGCGATTGTGCGTCCGAATTGTCCTAAACAATCGTATGTTTCTGTCCTCTTGTTTGTTTTTTTGATAACCAGCTAAGTTCATTTCATTTTAACTAAAGAAAACGAAGCCGAACAAGTATTTTTCGGCCCAATCTCTTTCTCCCTGCGAATGCGATCTTGCGACTTCGATCACTGGAATGACTTCGGTGGTTGACTTCCATTCAGTACTTTTATTGAGATCAAAATGGCGGGAAAATTAAACAATTCTCCCCAGTTCTCTCATGAGTTACACGTTTTTGTTACATCTTTGATGTTCATTTCAAAAATTTAATTTGTTACTTTACACTGCGGTTTGGCGTTTAAATTTTGTTCTAATCTGGTCCTCATCGTTTACTAGAAAAGTCTGCAATTTAACGGTGAGTTTTAGCATCGTAACGTGGCATGAAAATACCTGGTGAATACTTTTGTGTGAATACACAATTCGGTGATTCAATCAGGGCATACCTTTGGTGTTACAGAACTTGTATTGGGTGGTTTTCAAACTCACGCTTTGGTTGTTTTGAACTGAGAAGTGCGGTTTGACTGAATGTATTTACGATTTCCCCTCGTTCTTCTAAAAACCCTAAATAGTCCAGCCTTTGATGCAATAATAAAGGTACTGATGTTTCCTTACGTACGTTGAACACTGATCGCAGGAATCCTTCAATTCACTTTATAATACTGATCAATACTGTCTAACAGCGAAACGGTGTTGAAGCACTGTAGAAATGATAAAACTATCTAGAATAGAGTTGATATAAATATGAATACAATTTATAAGCATTTTATTTACAATTGATGTATTTGATTGTACAATTGTTGATATGCTAGCACTGATGTTTAAAATACTATTGTTATGTCTTAAATATAATGTTTATGATTGCTTATTAATGGTTCTCGTGGCTTAAGACTTGCTGCCAAGATCTACACCATTGGTCAAGAATAAATGGCAGATGAATTTGAATGACAACCAAGTCTACAGTTTGTTAACAAGCTTGTAAACGAACTGTTTATCAGATCTTGTGAACAACTTGCTATAAGATTGACAAATACTAATTAATTTAGTACAATTCAATAACCATTAGTTGGTAGTGCACCATCTTGCTTGAGAGTTGAAAACTCTGATTGGAAGTTCTCTTTAAATGCAATGCAACATTGGTAACTTTATCGATAAAATGCATTTTATGTCTATAATTTGATTTCACTGTCTTTGGTGCATTTTAGGCCTATATTCATAATTTATTATATATGGAAATCACTGTCAAATAATGATGAAATGTATGAAAATTTAAATGCTTTCTATATTCGAAGATACTGTTGTTTGACGGTAACAAGTTGTTGACAAGCCTGACTTTCAGCAAACACTTGAAAATCCCTACTTGGATGTTCATTTAACTTGGGTGCACGCCCATAAACTGCGCGTGTTGATGTTCACGAAACGCGTGTTTTTTATGCTCAAAAAACGCTTGCGATTACGTTCATAGCTGGCTCTACCATGATGCCATTTCACTGTAAATTTATACCACTCTTTTTTTATTTTAATCTATATCTTTCATACATTATCGCTGCGAATAGGCGTTGTGTCCGAGGACTCGGGCATCCTATAGTCTACGCCCCCATTTCCATTAACTTCTACGGTGGGTGGAAGCGGTTTTAAAAATTTCCAAGCAAGCATGAAAAATAATGTTGTGAAGAATTTTGAGATGGTTGCCACGGCAGCGGTGACGTTGATTAGCTTTTCGTTGTCGTATTCGAGACAGTTGCCACGACTACCACACCTGAAGAACAGCGAGAAAATACCTGAAATGTCGTCCAAAAAATTCATGGTACAACTATAGAATACCCCGCATGCGAGAGTACTATGTAAACTGGCTACGTGTATATCTTTTGGTTACATTTAGGGTTAAGGTGAGGGTTAGGGTTAGGGTTGGGGTTAGAGTTACCAAGTGGTCAAGTAGCCATGTAGCCAAGTAGCCATATAGCCATGCATGTTGGCAAGTAGCCATTAGGCACGTAGCCATGTAGCCACGTAGCTATGTAGCCATGTAGCCATGTAGCCATGTGGCCACGCATGTAGCCATCGGTGGCCACGCATGTAGCCATGTAGTCATGTAGCCATGTAGCCATGCAAGTAGCCATGTAGCCATGTAGTCGTGTTGGTATAGGAATAAGGAAGAGATGTTCGCATGTATGTTGCCAGGTAGCCACAGGAAAACAACACTGACATGTGGCGGGGTATTCTATAGTTACTCCCTTGGATTAACAGCTAAATTTAACTGAGGAAAAAATCAACTTACTTATCTTGCCACAATATGCATGTTGTATCAATAAGTTTTCCGTAAATAATGGGGCCTGGTATCGCTCCAAGTAAACGGATAAATATCATCTGCCATCCTAATGCGTACGCTTTCAGACGGTCAGGCACGGATCTGTAAAAGTACCACGATAACGTATCGATGAAGCGAGAATTGGTTGAAATAATATTGGGCAACGTCGTATTTAAAAAATTTTTCGATGATTTCAGACACTTTCAAAAACAATAGAGTTGTTTTGACTGAAAACATTTCGTTTTTCGAAATTCGAGATGTAGTTTGTTTAACATGATAACGCAAATTTCAACATATGTTCACGCAAATAACAGTAAATAGATTATTTCCTTGTGTCATGCATGGCCAAACTCGTGTTCGTGTTTATAACGGGACAATTTTCATAGAATACGTACTAAATTTTCATAGGAAAGTTGTAGGAAATCAATCGGATTATGGTTCGTTTAGGAACAATTGGAGTTGTGGTTCGTTTAGGAACAAATCAACATTTGAATAATTATAGTAAATAAGTTACCTGAGAATAGCGATGACTGTTGGTGTTTGCGCGAGGAATGATGTGAAGCCAAAGAGTGCTGTAAGGAGGACAAATATTGCAGCCTTTACACCACATTTTGACGGACATTTACCGTAAGCTAACTCCTCACTGCTTGAGCATCGGCAGCCTGTAAAAACCTGAATGAAAGATGTATGTTATTTGAGATTTATTCTCAGAACTTGTGGCTTAAACTCAAGAATTGAAATATGAAAGTTAAAATACCATTTTGTCCTCTTGTTTCGTTGTGCATCTTGCTATACACGGAGAGCGATAGGTTGTTTTTCTTTGAGTGTCGCAGACCGGGAAGTACAACCAGTTTGTGCAGTCACAGTTCACGTTGCAGTCTGAGATTAACTCGTTGGTTCTGTGGAAAACGAGATGGGTAAGTATTAGTGCTGTGGGATGGCTTGGTATTGTATGGTGTGTGGTATGTTATGTACTGATGTGGTATGTTATGATATTGGTATGGTATATGGTATGCAACCAACCTATTCCCAACTGGCAGTGTCAATCCAACGACCTCTTGTCCTGAACATTGCGTTGTCAAATACAACAGGCCCACAATCATACTTATGAACGTTGTGATGCACACCGTTTTTGTTGCTTGGATACCGTTCAGCTCCATTCTTTTGTTAATGTAGGCACCTATTAGTTTATAATGTGATTGAGTTGGTACATGTGTTAGGTTTATAGTGTTTTTAGCCTTGGTATGACAGACAAAAGGCCCGTTCACACGATCCAACTTTGTCAGATCCAATTCACTTCTGACGTATGAAATGTAGTCTGTTATTGGTAAAGCAATACTGCATTGGTTTTAGTTGATTTGCAACCCATATACATTGCAAGTTAATAGACTATAAAACATCCATCAAAAGTGATTTGGAACAAAATTGGATCTTGTTCTTGATATAAAACCATGATCACTCCTATATTTCTTCCTAAAGTTTTTTACTCACCTAATATTTGTCCAGCTAATATGGGCAGCACAACAGCGGTACCATAAAGCCAGCTTAGCTCGGACAACGGCGTACTGAAGAGAACGTATATGACTTTCGGAAAGAACGCCATTGCTGCGGTGATGACGAAATACTCCAGCGCGCTCCCGAAGCACAGGAATATATACCCAGGAATAAAGAATAACTCCCTGGTTACCGTTGGAAGCTTTTTAATGTCCATATGACTCATGGTTTCAGAAAATTGAAATACCTATAGATCACAGATTAGGACTTATTTAGAGAGGGATTCACATTTGGCTTAACGTTATATGGTTCACTTATTGTTGGATGAGGCTGCTCTAAACCGTTCCCTTGATATTGGGGAATGTTTTGTTACGTGGTGTTACTACTACCAGTTTCCACAAATAGAGCTAGTTCTATTTATATTGGTCGGTCAGTTCTAAGCTGCCTTCTATGAAGCTACGTATCCCTTTCTGTTCGTATTTTGAACAGAAGGAAACGTAAACTATTTATCTGGATGGCTGTATCTATTTGGAAATAAATGTATCCTAATTGTCCAGTGTGCAACATATCATAAAAGGAAACTGATATAATGATATATAAAGCATCTTTGGGGGAAATATTAAGAGAGTTCGGTACAGATCGTTTGAAGGGTAACACCTCATCACGCTGATGGAAACCTATGGCAACTTCATTTATGTCAGGAGCACTAACAGTTCAACCGGCTCTTTATTATATAGAGGGACAACGCTAACCATAATCCCGCCCCACTTGTCAATTTCGAGCGATTATGAGATAAGCGAACTTAAGACATTCTTCAAATGTTTATTTGAGACCTGAGTTTTTACTCACATGCGACTCATCACTTCCATTGTTTTCACTGCCAAGTGAATATTTTCTTCCGATTTTCCTAGGAAAGCCGAGCATCCACACAGAAAGAAGTATGGCCATAACGATGCCTATGACATTTCCTATCCACCAGTTTCCAACCCACCTGGGATCGTTCACGGTCAGCTCGGTGGTCGTTCCTGTGTCGACGTAGAATGACAAGAATATACCGCCCAATAGGAAACCACAGGCAGACCCTAGCCAAGAATGAGCATGTATGTAAGTACTATGACTTACATTCACAAACTTCTAGTTTATACTGAATAGACTGCTATATCATGTGAAAATTGTCTCTAAAGTCCTGTGTATTGGAGAGGCGTGCCGGGACGGGATATTTTGCCATCCCGCGCTTACATGATTGTTTTTCAAAGGCGATGTTTACTCACGGGAACCCGTGACGAGTATTTCTCCCGGGAATACCATATTGTTCAGTGACGTTGGTCAAATAATGCAATGTCAGCGTAATATTGTCAAGCCAGATCGAGCGTTTATATGACAAAATACGTCCCTAAAGCGGGATCTCGCACGAACATATATACAAACATATACAAGGCGAGATCCCGGTCATTGTCACGTCCCGCCTCTCATATAAACAGGGCCTAAATGTCCGGTATAAATAGTCATCTCATCAGTATATAGATATTTTTACCTATATGACATTTTACTTCCATTGGCAATTTGACTCATATGGACATTTTACTCTCATGGACAATTAGACCATATAGACGTTTTATTCTCACGGGCATTTGACCCATATATATAGACATTTTACCCTCACGGATATTTTTACTCATATATGGACAACAATTTAACCACATGACCAATTTAACCAGGGACGCTTATTACTTACCTACGGTCCCAGAGGAGCCGAAAAACCCAATGTAAATTGGTGCGATTTTCTTTTTCACGCTTTCGTCTAAATATGCAACGCCCAGGACATACAGAGGCGCCCCTGCGATTCCGATTAAAAACATTCCGAAGCAGAATATGGCTGGATAATACCACTTTCCCAATGCTTTGTTATCACACACATCTTTGTCGGTGGCATTGACCGCGCACACGTCAGGAAGTTGTTTTTCGCCTAAATAATTGACAACATTTAAAGCTTGAGCAAACCATCTTGCTGAAGAGTCTTATGTACCTAAACTGGCAAATCTTTATGGGCATATGAGAATCGCTAGGAAGTTTTCATAGGTTTCCAAACATTTTGGAAGATCCCAGAGACGCTGAACATGATTTCTCCTATCATGATTTCATGAATATTTCATGATTCACCAAATCATTTCGCAAATCTGTCTCGTGATACCTCGTTGTCTCGCGATATCTTGTTTCATTTGGCTGAATATTTCAGTTCATTCATTAGGCATAGTGTACCATCAGTAGCGTAGCCAGCCTGAGGATATGACAATATCCAGCTATGTAAATTTCGAGTTTTATAATTATTCAATTTCCTGAGAAATTTATTGTTTTCACAGTCAATGAACACCAAAATATTAGCATAGCGGGACAAATCGTCAGGCTGGCTACGCTACTGTGTACCATTACAGACTCGCAGTCCTTACCTGCTTCGTACTTGCCAATGATTAGATGCGGTAGTATGAACACGAAGTTAGAAATACCGAGGATGAAGAGGGCCCAGCCCAACCAACGGGACTTGCTTTGCTGTCCACCGTAGTAGCTGACGAACACGGTCACAAACAGGCACGCTACATCGTACATGCTAGTGACTATGCCCATCGTTGAACTAAAAGAAACGGCGTCGAGCAATTCAATATATCGTTAAAAAGACAGTTTTCAGCCGGACACGAAATGTTGGGTGTTCTATTAGGACCGCAGGTGGACCAGAAATATGTGTGTCCAGTTTCACATATTACGGTCAGTGGCACACACTTGCGAGTGTACGTCACTGGCCGCAATATATTGAACTGGACACGCTATTTCTGGGCTACGTAGTTAGCAGGAGCTTTCATGCACAGTAGCATGTTTTCGGCAATACGTTATTAATAAAATAGTTTAACTTTTTATAAATGTTACCTTGAGAGACCAAATCGCTTCTCTATGGTGGACACCGATACAGAATAGGTACCATTGATAACCATGCTCAGACAAAAGTAGAACAGACACAAAAACGCGAGTAGCCATCGTGAAGTATTGAAACATTGTAGGCTGTTGGGACGAATATTGAACCAACCAAAACGGGTAGACGACATTTTCTGCCAAAAAAAATACGGACAGTTGATATAAGTGTAATCCATATATATTATCCTTAAATGACGTTTCCAACAAACTTGTTAAGGTCTGTTCACACGACCCAATTTTGCTGGTTCCAATTCACTTCTGACGTATGGAATGTAGTTTGTTATTGATAGAGCAGCACTGCTTTCGCTTAAGTATTTGGCGCCCATATACTTTGCAAGTAAACAGACTATTAAGCATCCATCATGAGTGAATTGGATCGTGTTAACAGACCTTTAAATGCGTGGTTTAGAAGCGATAAAAAGTTCATCCAATATAAGTAAATTTATTTAATTAACTTAGAAAAACCGATTTCCATGGCAACATTTTAAAACATATTTGTAAATATTAGATTCGGATGTCTCCTGCCTGAACCCAATTTTTCCTTGTGTTGTGCAAGTCAGGTTGATCATTGCTTATTTACACAAACTGAATGAAAGCGGACATTATTGGCCGGAAATGGTATATTACGTCCCAGCATGCATCAGTGGGGAACGCGTGCTCCTGTGTCGAGACATTGTGAAATTAGGCAGCAAGTGGGGTACAGTGCTTTGACTGTATGGCTGGGTGGTCTTGTATACAAGATTAATCGATCAGACAACATGAAGGCCCGATGTTTATATCAATTTTAACTATTTTACAGTCCAAGAAAAACCTATCTGAGCCGATCTAAGGTGGTATAATAACGGCCTAAAATAGGCAAAAACACTTCTCAATTTTGTCAAGAAAACATGTAGTTATTCAACATGCAAACTTATTTAAAGACACTGTTTGTAGACGTTATATTGGAACATATCTGACAGTAACATGCCGTATAGTTCGAGGGTGACGTTACATCTAGACTGACTTTACAAGCAAATACGCCGAATCGCTGAATAAGATTCTTCGAGTCGCAGTGAAAACCACCATAGCCTTATATTACTTTCACGTTGGTGAACTCTAAATCTACACTGGTCATTGCCTGCGTGTGATCCAGAGATCTCCTAGAGATCCAGTTTTACTTCAAGAGATAAGCTAAATCAAAGTATTTCTGCATCGTTTTCTGTTCGAAATGTTCTTCCCCAGAGCTTTGACCGTCACTGGTCATAGCGTTGCAATGAAATTGTCTAGTCGCAGGTCTAATCGACGAAGGATGGAAATAGTTGCAATTTTCGCAATTTTGAACATTTTAACATTTTAACTTTGATCTACTGAGAATCATCGGCAATACTATGAGAAATTATAGTTTTTTCCTGCCCCCTCAGAGGCATAATATCAAGGACTATTGCTGTCACATCAAAAGCGTTTTCGCATCACTTTTTACCCTTTCGATGTGGGAGATTGTGTTGAGGTGAAAATTAATAACTTTAACAGAACAGACGTCTACAGTCTCGAAACTACTACCTCGGAAATTACTTCATGTTATATTCATATATAAACTGTATGGGTTTTGTCGTAGATAAGTGAATGTGTGAGGTCTCATATATAACCTGGAGTAGCCTAATGGAAAGTCATGTGATTATGTAGTCTACCTAAAAATTAACCCATCTGATTTGGTTTATAATATATTTCGATAAAACGCCGGTATGGGCGTAACCTTTAGAACTGGCTTCCATTCCTGCTTCACCAAACTTCAATCCACCACTCACAGAGCTTAGGGCTACTTGCTAGAACTACTATGATTTTTCTCTTTTCATCTGGGATTGCACATAAGTGAGAATACATGGGTCCACAGAACTAATAAAGGTCAGTGGATAAGTCATTGTATTCCGAGTTCCGCATAGGAACTTTCATAACTCCTTCACACGTTCCCATCAATCAGAAGATGAAAATCGCACAAAATCTGTGTACATGCGATCATATAGGATCAGCCAGAGAAAATTATTTTTTTGTTTAGAAAATATATTCCCACAAAACTATTCGATCACATTCCTAACATTTAATCGCTTACAAAAGACCTCTCCTCCAGCTGAGAGTCAAAAAAGGGGATTAATTGATCCCTTGGGGCGTTCCTTGCAATTCGATTGGCTAAAAAATGTTACTAAACTCCCGCGTTATATAGTCATTGACCCCCCGTTGTTATTTACGTGTAACTACACAGACCAAACATTCCTCGCTTTCATAATAGAAGATTCACGTGAAATTTTGATTCCCATTACGTAACCCTCTTCGAACTTAATAATTGGCTTAAATGCAATATAAAAACAACCCATTTCGGGAGTTATTCCTTTCTTTATATTAGTCAGATGCCATGGATATCAAAACGCGTTTATTTGCTATCTACAGGAGTGCTGACGGCTGACCTAACCATCCCTTGCCTAGCGTGAATTAATAAAGTGACGAACGCCATTCAATATGTACAACCTAAGTGAGTACAAATTTGACGACAGCCAAGCGGTGTTGTTGCTGCCTGGTGAGGGAATACATCAAATTAGGTACCAAAAATCCTATGCTCTCCCGTCAACAACAGCCCTCTAAAACAAGCATGACATTTAAGATTAATATGTCGCGAAGCAGTCGTCCCTCGTGAATATAGTTGTAACAGGGGGTCCTTCGAAAAGTATTTGATAAAATTATTACAGTTACTCGAGACATTGTGCGCCTAATTGTCGGACGTTTGTTGATTGAGCGCCTTGGTTTCGTTTGACATTGATTAGCCCAATAATCTAACCGATGTCTTATAAGAGGAGTGGTTCATGCAGAGTCTATAGCGAGTTTTCGTCACAAACTGTAAAAAATTTGATGTAGACATCGTTCCCTAGAACTGAAAAGTGATGAATTTCTACACTGATGAAATTTGATCTAGTTCTGTTAATGGCATGATAACGTTTCCAAGTTTGTTTCCTAAGATCAACGACTATTCGCAATCCAGTTTCGTATTTACAGCTCAGGGGCTGGTTGTTTAAAGCTAGGTTAGCGCTAATCCTGGGTTAAGTTTTACTCCGCTGTTTTGGTTTATATGCTTCTGCACCGCTGTTTGGTTCAAGACTTTACAAAATAGGACTTCTATTGATCCACAAAATATTTATGAAAAGACATCTTCAACTTCATAGCGAGCGATTTAAAAAATTGATGTGAAAATTTGAGTTACCCTGGGTTAAGCTAACCGGCTTTTGAACAACCGGCTCCAGTAGGCTAACCGCTGCTTGTTAGTTGTTACTTCAACATAGGATTTATATTTATATATAGAAATTTGACTGTACCGACTTTCAATGCCTGCTATTTATAACCATATTTGACAGAGGTCAAGCACTTTACTTGACATAGTTTAATATATTATATAATTAACACTTATTGGTTATTATCTGAGTACATAACCAAATTAACGTATGGATAAGTAGCAAATCCAATTAGAACATATTAGAATGGGTTAATAGGCAAATTTCTACATGATAGTATTGTATTGCACTGTACTTACATTTCCGTTGAGCAGAAAATAACCAGTTCTTTCGCGAGCAAATTTTAGTCCCAATGAAAAGTTTCATCTCAGCTGATACTGTTTATAATGAATCATAATCCACCTAATGGTTCCTTTATCTCGGCTAACATAATTACATGAGTGGAATGTTTATTGTGATTTTCACTATTTTCGTGTAGGGAGCGGCCGAGAATAGGCGAAAATGGACCGCGATACAGCACAAACGACGAATGAAGGCGATTGGTTTAAATTGAAACATTTTAAGGATGGTATTTCACGGTAAGTTGTTTAAAATTATTTTGGAAGTTTATTTGATGTTATCAGTTCCTACCACGGGAGTCAGCAGGCGTTCTGAATACGTTGCTTTGCCTCGCTGCCTTTGAAAAGCATCTGCTATATACACAAGAAAGCAAAGTTATGTTTCGAAAACAATTAAACTCGAAACATTTCAGAATTTTCAAGCCGTTTTATATGCTTTCACGGTGTTTTCACCAATTTGCCAGCGTCAGTTAGCTTAGCCGCGAACCACTTTCAAGTACTTCAAAACAAACTTTGTTTCTGTTAAACAATTACCTTATGGGAACGGAAAAGCATTTCAGAAATTTCACAGACGCATTTTAATAATAATTAATTAATCGCGTTCAAGGATAATTGTGATAATCGTGAGATAAGAAAGCAATTGTTGATTAGGCGATAAACCGATTACTTACAATAATGCGTTTAAATAAAGCATCTCTTAATGTAGTTGTGCTATAAATAATGACGTTATTTATCTCAACACTGAGTAAACTATAGACCGTAACTTCACTTAGATTGCCCTGGAACGGTTAAATTCATGGAACTGCTTAATTAAACTAGAATGATTTATTACTTGTAAAAGTCCCGAATTTTTCAATCAATGAAGATACAGCAAGGGGCGTCCGTTATTGTTCCAATATGATATTCTATGGGCTGGAGAAATGTCACCGAAGATATTGGAACTGACAGGAATTTAAAACTAGAACATTTTTCACTTTGAAGTGTTCACTTGTGCATACTTATAACCATGTAGGCATAACTATCCTACAACTTTCCTTCAATATCATTTAAACGCCCTTTCTAGAGG